TGCAGCTTAGGAAAACGGATCACTAGATTTCTTCTCTTCCTTTTCTCTATTATATTCTGTTTTTCTTCCCTGTTCTCTTTTTCTGGAACTCTGTTACTGGGAATTGGAGCTCTTGGATTAATTCTCAGTTGTTGTTTTCTCCTCTTCAGTTTTCCATCTCTTTGATTATTTTACTTTTAGTAGGTTTCTATAACTTCTGCCAAATCTTTTATGAGTTTTCATGTTTGCTGTCATGTGTTCTGTTTTTTTGTTGCTATTTGTTTTTGAGACAGGTCTCACTCTCATTCAGGCTGGAGTGCACTAGTGTGGTCATAACTCATTGTAGCCTCAAACACTTAGGCTGAAGCAATCCTCTTGTGTCATCCTCCTGAGTAGCTGGGACTACAGGTGCGTGCCACTATGCCCAGCTAATTTTTTTTTATTTTTCATGGAGACAGGGTCTTACTATGTTGCCCAGGCTGGGTCTTCAACTCCTGGCCTCAAGCAGTCCTCTGGCCTCAGCCTCCCAACGTGTTGGGATTACAGGTGTGAGCCACTGCACCTGGCCTCCTGTTCATTTGTGAAGACCATTTTCAGAGGCGGGCAATGGATACTGTTGTCTGCATGTTCCTTCTTAATAGCACCTGTTTTTGTTTCATGAGTACAGTAGAGCCTCTCACTTTGAAGATGTTAATGGTATGTTTTTGGTTTTAACTTTTCATCTTTGTAATTATTTCTTCTGTGCCGTTTTCCTCTGTGGTTTTTGTCTTTGTCTCAGAGGTTTGGTGATCCTCGCCTGTCTGCTGTGTGGCTGAGGGACTTGAAGCTCTGTGCACGTGGGCCTTCCTGGAGGGTGAATGAGCTGGAATGTTTCATTGGGCATTTCCTCCTGTTGGGGACTTTTTCTTCACCTGGTCAGATTTTTTAAATAAAGGACCTTTTCCTGTCTACCTGGAGACTGGGGTTCTGAGAGCATAGTGGAAGAAAAGTGGCTATTGGGAATCTGTCCTCTCTTCCCTGAGTAAAGAACCCTGATTTTCAGCTGAACTGGTGTTCTCCAACCCAGACACTACCTGTTTTACCTTCTCACCAGTTTACTTTTGATTTGTTTACTACTTGGGTTGTGGGAGGAATCTGGGTGTGTCCACCTGCCTTGTCTCTGCCCCCACCTTTTAATATGAGTAATTTCAGATCTATAGAAAAGTCACAAGAATAGGGTAGTAAGCAGCCTTTGCCCGGGTTTACCAGCTGATAGTGTTCTGCCACCGTTGCTCTTCGTGTTTTTCTTCTGAACCCTTGGAGAGATTACAGTAATTATGACATTTTATCCCTAAATACTGTCATCAAAAAACAAGAACAATCCCGGAACTACAGAAGCCTTTTCACATGCAAGAAATTTACTGTAGTACTATTCTATATAATCCATATTCAGATTTTTTTCATTATCCCCAAAATGTCCTTTACAGGGTTTCCCCCCCTTTTAATTCAAGATTTATTCAAGTATTACGTAAGTATTTTATTGCCACATTGCTTTGTTCTTTAATCTAGAAGTATTTCCAGCCCTCTTTTGCAGGGGGCATGGGGTGTCTTTCATGACATTGCCATATTTAAAGAGTCCAGGTCAGTTCTGTAGAATGGCCTTCAATTTGGACTCAGCTCTTTCTTCATGATTAGCTTCAGATGAGACTTTTTTTTTTTTTTTAGATAGCAATACTATGTAAGTCATAATTATCAAATCACGAGGCCCAAGGTCAGTTTGTCTCATTACTGGTGATGTTAAGTTTGATCACTTGGTTAAGATAATGTTTGCCAGATGTCACTATTGTGAATATTTCTTTCCCCTTTTGCAATAAAAAGTAAGTTGTGAATAAATAATTTCTGGAGTGGTATTCTAGGTATTCTCCCTGACTCTGTTTCCTCGCTGTACTTGCTGTCCAGTGTGATCCTGTGCTGGTGAAGCAGCAACCTGGTACTCCGGTAGTGCTGGAGGCTGGAGGGGCACATTTGTTTCAAGCTGCGCAGGTCATGGGGCCCATAGTCGGAGCAGATGTAGCTCTGGGTGCTGCAGTGACCCCTGCACCAGGTCCCTAGCTGGGCTGTGAGGTGGGGCTGCTTGGGCCCCCTGGCCCTGGTGGAGGTGGAGGAGGCCCCCCAGCACAGCACAGCCTGGCCCTCCTCAGAAAGAGGGACATTCTCTACTGTCAGAGGCAGTCCTGAGAGATGTGTTAGGGATCTGTCCTGTGCTGTGCCCATTCCCCAGCCTGACCCCCAAGCTCTCCCCCAGGATACTGTCTGTCATCAGCATTATCTCAACAGCCGAGCCCTTCCCCTTCTGGCTGGCAAAGGCCTTGTCTGTGCTGTCAGGTTTCCATGGTGGGCACAGAACTGGCATTGAATAAATGCAGGGGTAAGGGGATGAATGTGAGCATTTGGATATGAAGACAAATGATGGAAAAAAGAAGGGCTCACAATTGCCACCTGAACCCAGAGAAACCTATTCAACAGAGTAGTGTCTTTTACCACCATTTGGCTTTCTGGTATGTTTCTGAAATATTTCACCTGATCTCCCACCCCAGGGGGCAGATGGCTTCATTCAGTCAACATGCAACAAACTGGTCTTTGGCACCCATGTGACCAAAGCACTCTCTCTCTGTTACCTCTTCCTTCTCTTCCCTTTCCTCTGCCCTCAACTTATCTTGTCTTCTATGAGCAATTTTACCAGGTACTGTGCGTGGCTTGGGGAAGAGGCCAGGATGCAAAGTGGAGCCACAGGTCTTGCCCATTTGAGCAGAAGGAGATGTTGAATTTAAGTACAGTGACATTCTCCAGCCACACCCAGGCCTGGCCTCAGGTTTGTCCCAGATGTGTCTACCTTTGTCCTTTGCGAAAGCTGCTCCATCTGCCAGGAAGCCCCTATGTTCTTTCTCAGCTTCCAGTCTCAGGTCCAGTCCCTCAGAAGCTCAGGTGGCTCTTCCCTTCTCCACTAAGTGCTGATACCCCATCCCAGTGATCCTCCTTGCCTGCCTCCCCTGCGAGCCCTGCCCTGCATCAGAGCTACCAGCAAGTCTGCGGGTCAGGTCTCCTGCCCAGAGCTTCAGGTAGCATGGCTCAGGACATGGGAACAGTTATAAAGAGCTGATGGTCCCCCAGTACTGTGTGTTTACAGCATCAGGCCTGTTGTAGTGCCAGTTACTGTCCCACACTGAGGTCCTTAGAATGTATTTTGGGGTTGTAAATTACACCAAAGACACCTCTACCAATAAACACAATGAGGCCTTGAAAATGCTTCTCCCTTTTCGGTCTTCACTTTGTGCTGAAGGTATCTCGGACACAGGTAGCATATTTTGCATTTTAGTGATTCCTAATCAAGTAGCAGCCCATCTCCATCACATGCCTGAGAGGAGCTATGGAACTACTCTCACTGAGTACTGGGTGAATGAAGGAGGCAGAGTGTCCAGGGTCTCAGAAATAGTGAGGAATACACACAGACTTGTGTACAAGGTGTTTAAGAAAGGCTGTTGTAGAATAATGAAAAAAATGCAAACAGCCTAACTTCAAACCATAGAGATTATGGTAACGAAATCCATTTGTGGAATACTATGCAGTCATCAAAAGTCATGTCTATAAGCCCATTTAAAGATATGGAAAGCTGTTTATAGTCTTAAGTTTACAAAGTAAGTCGTGAAATGGAGTATCTGATGTGATCTCAGTATTCGTAAAGATTAGTATAGGAAAAAAGAGGCTTGGTGAGGGGGCAGACTCACATAGTAAGGGCTTATGGCCTTTGTTGTTTATTGTCTTTCAAACTTTTGTATTTTTCAAGCATTCACATTGAATGTTTGTTACTTAATCATGAAAAAAAAAAAAGCATGTGGATTTTTTATTAAATAAAAACCACAGCAAAGTCTATGACACCAGCAGAACCAGCCTGCTGGAGAGGGCTTGTCAGGTGGGGCTGCCAGCTCAGGGTCAGGGAAGGAAGCTTTTCAGGAGGCCTCCTAACCCTCCCTGTGACCTCCCTGGGGGAGCTGAGGCCCCACTGAGCCATCTGCAGCCAGAGTGTACCTGTTGGAAGGCATCTGTCTATGTGCAGCCTTGGAGAGCATGTTTGTTGCCCATCTGACCTGAACTTGTACCTGATGCCCTTCATGATGCATCAACGTACATCTGTACAGGCAGAGTGGGAGGTGGGTGGGCCCATGAGGGCTCTCTCCCCTGCACCATGGCCTTGGGTAAGTCACCCCCCTTCTCTGAGTCTGCCCCTCACCTGTGAGATGGGAGGAGCGTCGTTCTCCTTCCTCACAAGGGGGTTGGAGGACAAAAGAGAGTGTATATGGAAGGACTGATGTGCAAATTACTATTAGATTATGCTACATGAAACTATAGTTCGTCCCCCATCCCCAGCTGCCTGTTTACACCTTCCAGCCACGCACCGAGGCCCACTGCACACCAGGGCCTGTGCCAAGCACCAAGGAGCCAGACAGGAACATATTAAGGTCCTGCCTGGAGGTCCTCACAGCCTTGGGGAACCAGCAGACAGAGGGACAGACAGGCAGCTCAGGTCCCAGGACAAGGGCTGCAGAGGAAGATCGCACATGTGGTTCTCCTTCATACTGGCAGAGAAGGCCCTCAGGGAAGGGGTAGGGGCAACCTGGGCTCTGGAGATAACTCCATCATGGGGCACCCCCTGGGGCTGGAGCTGCTGAGGTGTATTAATTTATGCAGGACGCTTTGCTGTGCTAGCAATGACTTATTAGAAAATGCAGTGACGAGGGCCTCCATTTCACCGTAGTAACTTAAAAAACAAAAACTGCCAAGGCATAATTTTAATAAGAGCACATGGGACCCATTTGATGCAGGCAGCATCATTTCATAGGGCCCTAAAGAAAGCCTGCTTTGCCGGATTCTGTGTTACAGGCGCCCCTCAAGCCTTGTAGCCCCGAGTAGTCTGAACTGGGCTGGCCAGGGAGGCTGCGACTGCACAGGCAGGACTCACAGCACACATCTCCTTTTGCTTTCAGAAGTGACCGGGGAGGCACGTCCTTACCATGGGAAGGAGGCTGTGGATCCGAGACAGGGGCGGGCCAGAGGAGGTGACCCCACGCACTTCCACACGGTGAACGTGGCGCAGCCTGTCCGCTTCAGCAGTAAGTTGCAGACCTGCCCTAACTGGGATACCAGGGAGTACAACCCTGACACGGCCCCTGCCTCTCCACCACTACTGTGTTGCATGAGGGGTTTCCCAAAGCAGCCCTTAGAGACCAGTGGGGGGAATGAATGAGGCTGGATGGTGACCCACCCAAAATTACCCAAAGTCTGCCAGTAATTTTGGTAGAGAGAGTGTTTTACCATGTTGCCCAGGCTTTCTCAAATTCCTGAGCTCAAGCGATCTGCCCACTTAGGTCTCCCAAAGTGCTGGAATTACAGGCGTGAGCCACTGCACCCAGCCATCTGATTCCTTGTCTGCACCTGAAGAGCTTTCCTGAACACTCAGGTGTGCCATTCATGGAGAGCAGATTGTGCTGTTCAGCTTGTAACCATCACAGACAGTGCTGTGGCCATGCTCAGGGGCCAGGGCTGCCTCTCCTTCCTGTAATCTGTATGCCTTTGTGAAGAAGTCGTACACACACATGCTTACACCATCATAGACAGTGCTGTGGCCATGCTCAGGGGCCAGGGCTGCCTCTCCTTCCTGTAATCTATATGCCTTTGTGACGAAGTCGTACACACACATGCTTACATAATAAATACATGGGCATGTGTCTCTAGAAGTTTTACTAGTGCCACAGGTCGTAGATGCACTTTAAAAATGGCATTTTTAGCCACTGCACTCCAGCCTGGGCAACAGAGCGAGACTGCACCTCAAAAAAAAATGCCTTTTAAATTTTACAACTGGCTTTGCTAAAACTTGTTACTCTTCTCAGTGTATTAATATGAGGTACCCAACATTCGAAGGTTAAAGATTCTACAAAACAGGTCTCTGATGTTACCTAAGGTAAATAACCGGGCATTCCCGTGTGTGGGTGTAGGAGTAGGAAGTGACAGGTGGAGGAGGTGAGAAGACACTGGCCAAACTCAGTGGTACTCAGGTACCAGCTGTGGCATCACCCACGCCTTCTTTTTTTTTTGCCTGTGGGAGACAGGGGCAGGTCACACGGTGTCACTGCCCTTTCAGTTGTGATCCTTTGAGCTGTGGTTTTATGAGGGCCTCCACTGCAAATGCTCATGTAAGTAGAAAAGGAGAGAGGGGAGTCAGCTCAGTAGGCAGCAGGCTAGCTGGCAGCAGAGGCCAGGAGAGCTGAGTGTTGGAAGCAAAGCCCAAAGTGAACTGCACAGAAAGTTGTGCTGTGATGTTAACCCAGAAAATGAAATTCATTTTATAAGACTTAATTTGGCAGCCATTCTTGACAAGTGAATAAATTAAAAGATCTTATAGAAATGGGAGGAGTCACCAAATATGCTTGTATCATTGGTTGAATATGTGTTTTTCAGAAACAAAAACCCCATGTCTACAATAGGGTTTCAGAAGCAGAGCTTCTCCTTTCCAGCCTCAGTTTCCCCACTTCTCTAGGGGTGATTTACAAAGTGTGCCTGTCCCTGATGGAGCACATAAAATTTCCATTTTGGAGCTGGATCCTAACTTGGGGGACAACTCCCCTTCTGTCCTTCATGTTTCCTAGGGAAGTGCCCGACAGGGTGGCACCACTACGAAGGCACGGCCAGCTGCTACAGGGTCTACCTGAGTGGGGAGAACTACTGGGATGCCGCACAGACCTGCCAGCGCCTGAATGGCTCTCTGGCCACCTTCTCTACAGACCAGGAGCTGCGCTTTGTCCTGGCCCAGGAATGGGACCAGCCTGAGCGGAGCTTTGGTTGGAAGGACCAGCGCAAGTAAGTCCTGAATTGGGGACCTGAGGGGCCTGGAGTCAGAGTCTGATGACCACTGAACACATGACCTCTGACCACTCAGTAAACTCCTGGGGCACAGCTGGCAGCCGACATGTTAGGAAGTCCAGCGTCACCCACTGGAAGTGCATGGAGATCCAGGGGTTAGAGTGTGTATCGAGTTGGGCAGAGGGTCCTGGGGGCAGGGGCAGGCTGGACTCTGCTGCTACGTTGTGGGACTGTGGGTCAGCTGTTTTCATTGGTTCCCCTCTGTGGGTACAACTGCAGTTGCTGAGGGAGGGCAGGGGGCCTGGCATTGCTGGCTTGTGAGGGGAGAGCGGCTTGGTGTGGGGCTTCATGGGCCTGGTGTGAGGGGTGTATAGTAGTAGGTGGGGGTTTCCCCCGAGAAAGCAAAGGGGGCCTTTGCTTCAAGACCCAAGCTGGGTTTTGACCTCACAGTTACGCCCTGTGTGACTGGCAAATCACAAGACGGAGTTGTTTCTCCTTCTACAGCTACAAAGGGAGGAAACTAAATCTTAGCTCACAGGTTGTTATACTCACCCCACAAGGACAGGCCTGTGAGTCCAGCGGAGAAGGAAGAGGGCATAGCCCAGAGGGCAGGGCAGCCCTGTCCCTGAGGAAAGCTGTGTGGTAGCACAGCACAGGCCAAGGACAGAGTATCCCATCCCAGGGCTCCTGCCATGCGGGGGACCTGCTGATGGGCATCTCCAGGCTTAGGGCTGGAAAGCTGGGCCAAGGGGCATGGACTAGGAAGGTACTTCAGCCAGGTCCCAGTGCAAGGTCCCCTCAGTGCTAGGCCTTGCGCGCTCAGGAGCAGGCTGCAGGCTGAGGTGGGCTGGCTCTGAGCAGAAGCTGTGCTAGTGTTTTCAGCCTCCATGCTAGTGGATATTCACAGGGGCTTATTAATTTATTGAGGTGTAATTCACATGACATGAGACTCACCCCTGTAGAGTAGTCACAGACTTGTATTTATGGGGTTTCATGTCTACCAAGAATAAGATTGTTCTTGCTTAAATTGTGCACGCTTTACTGGTTCAGCTCATAAATACAGTCTTGGCAGGAGTTCCCTGAGATAAAACTTTTCCCGCCCTGTGAATTTCTTGTTTTGAATTTTAGTACATTCTAACATGAGTGTTAAATCACTCATGTTAGAAGCTCAGTGTTTTGGAGGTCAGTATAGCTATTAAAAAACACACAGTCATTGATGGCTGCATCCATCCTGCCATTGAGGTCTCTGTCTTTGTGCCCTGCAGGTTGTGGGTTGGCTATCAGTATGTCATCACTGGCCGGAACCACTCCTTGGAAGGTCGCTGGGAGGTCGCATTCAAAGGTGAGCCCTTCTGGTCTGTGGGAGTGTTTGAAGCTGGGCAGAGTCACCCTGACTCCCTTCCTCCCTCTCACCCAGTGCTGCTTGGCCTGTAGGGGTGTGTGCAGTGGACATGGAGAGGGTGAGCCCCAGTTGCAGTGGGTGCTGTGGTCATGGGGCTAGCGCAGCCTGCAAGTCAGGCCCTACATTGGGCTGTGGCTGTTTCTGGAACTCATTGTTGCTACTTTGGCCAGCTTTCTATATTGTCCCTCCTGCCATTGAAGTTAAGGACCTTGGAGTATAAAAATGAGCATGCAGAGTGTGCCCCTGGCAGCCCGGAGGGGAGGACAAAGAAGGTCAGAGGTAGCATCCAGACCTGAAGGAAACTATCAGCCTGATAGACTTAAAATAGGTTGCACGCGTGCCCGTGCGTGTGTGTTTCTCAAAGATTTCTTGGAAATACCAAGGCAATATGTGTGTGGGTGCACGCATGTGTGTGTGTGTGGTTTCAAAGATTTTATGCTGAGCTGCTTGGAAATGCCAAGGCAATATAAAGGAAACATGATGGCTGCTGTTTCCTTTACATTCCCTGGTCTTAGGCTTGGCCTGTCCCTCCTGTCCCATTGCCCTGGCACTGGCGAGCTCCTCCTAGGTTTACCCCAGCAGTGCCCTCTCCAGCTGCTGCCAGGGCCACATTCCCTCGCCCTGCCCCTTGTCAGGCCTGTCTGTTGGGCTGTGCTTTGTGCCTCTGACTTGAGCTAGGATTTGGGTTCTTTTCATAAACACATCCCAGTTCTGCTGTTGATAACCTAAGTGTCTCTGAGAAAGACAAATGAGGAGTGGTGGGCCCAGGGACAGGATTCAAAGGGGTCAGGGCCTGGGTAGCCAGCTTCCCTGAAGAGAAGAGGGCCCTATAGAGGCAGGGCCATGCCTGGCTCCTGGGACAGGCCAGGAGCAGAGGTGGGGGGTGCAGAGCGCAGCAGATTAGGGCCACACATGATGTCCTGCTCCTGCTTAGGACAGGTGCCACCCTGTTCTTGTGTCCTCCAGTGCCCTCGTGGGAGTCCCACCCGCATTTGGATATGAGTGCATTGTTTAGACTCCCCACGGGAACTGGTGACTAATCAATAGTTTCTGGGTTTCCAGGCCCTAGAGTCAAAGTTTACCTTGTAGAGGATAATTCTCCTAGCAGCTTGTCCTCTTGACACTGGTGGTTGAAGAGAGGACATGATTCTGAGTGGGATGACAGCACATTCAGAGTTGGGGACTTGGGGCCCCATGCTTGATGTGAGGATGGCAAGGGTCCTGGGTGGGCTTTAATGGCCAAGTGCTGCTCAGTGGTTCCACTGAAGCATCAGGAGAGCGAACCTAAAATTTAGAAAAAGATTGAACATGTGTGTTGGTGGCGGCAGCCACAGCTGGTGTCAAGTTCCCTGTTTGTGCCACTCAGTGTATAAGGGGCCCCACAGCATCTGGGAGCTCCGAAGGAGTGGCCACGTGCCACTGTCTGTTTGTGCTCAGTTAAATGGATTTGGGAACTCTGTTAGCAGATTTAAATAGTGGTCACATAACAAATACTAAAATTATTCTGCAGCAGGATAACTGGCTCTTAACACAGCTAAACATCATGAGTGGTTCTGGGCTTAAAGAGATTAAAGAAACATAAAACCAAATGTGGCACATGAACCTTGATGGCGTCCTGGGTTGGGGGGCTTATAAAAAACTTTGAAAGAAGAATTGAAGAAATTTGAGTGTGGCCCTTTGGAGGATTCATTTTCTTAGGTGCAGCAGTAGGACTGTGGTTGTGTGCTTTTAGGAGCCAGCATTCTGGTATCTGCAGGGGAGGGGCTCCCAGGGTGGTAGGGCAGAGAGGAGCCAAGCAGCAGGGTGCGGTCAGCGCCAAGGCAGCTCAGGTGCGCACACTCCTCTTTCCACAGCAGCAGCATTAAAAAATTCCCATACTAAAAGCGAGCTGCGAGTGAAGACAGCACTGTGTATAAAACAAGCTAACAAGAGCACATCCAGCCCAGCCCTGCCCTTCTCCTGCCCAGGGACATGGTCTAAGGGGTTGGCCTTCAAAAAATACCCAAAAAACCATGGGAAGAGGATGTAAGTCTTTTGTTACTAATTCTGAACCCTTCCCTAAGAAAATATTGTACCTGAGAATATTAGCTAATGATGGTAGGAAGGCCTCACACTAAGATGTTGAAAAGTGTTTACTTCATCTACATGTTGTCCACCTTTGCTGTGTTGTGTGATGTGTTCTGGATTGGCACAGTGGTGAGTGAGTGATACCATGGTACATAGACACTATACCCATGTGTCGGCACTCTGCATACACGTTTGAAGTTGGGAAGTCATTTCCACCGGGCTCCTGTGCACCTTGGTGGAGCGCTCTCCAGTCGATCCCCCAGGTCCACACCAGCCTGTGAGCCCTGTCCAGGGTACCAAGATCCTGCAGGTTTGACAGCACCAGGTTATGTCTCCAGTACCCTGGAGACAGAACTGCCGCTGCCGCTGCTACTCCAAAAGATGTGAGGCCAGCATTTTTGTAACATTCGTGCAGAAAGGTTGAAAAAATACAGATCCTTGTCTAGGGAGATCTACACCACCCCATGTGCTGCTCCCAGGGCCTTGCTGTCAGCACCAGCACACGGCCTCTGTCTGGTGAGTCATACTTGATATTTACGTTAAAACAGAAAAGTGGGAACACCATATGTTTAATGTGTCCACATATTGTGTCACTTGCTCATTCGAGATCTCTCAGTGCCTGGCCCTCATTTTTCCCCCGTGGTGTCTTAGCATGCACACTGCAGGTCGTCTGAGGTCAGGAGCTGTGTGACTTAGTAGAAGTCTTCTTCTCTCCCCAAAATCTTGTTACCAGTCCTTCATGGCCTCTGTCTTCTTTCCCTGGTGCTGTACCCAAGGGATCCTAGGGTGTTGCCCCCTGAGGCAGCAGTCAGGGCTGTGGTCCTGGGCCAACCTGTGGGACCTAGCATCTAGAAGCCTCAGTCAGCAATGAGGGAGGGGTCAGGCTGGCCTTGTAGCCACTTGCCCTCTGGGTGAAGTGACCACTGGGCTACGATGGGGTCAGCTGGGGTCAGGCTGCAGTTCCTAGAGGGAAGATAGCCCCAGAGTAGGGTGGCTGCCTCCATGGTGGGGCATTCGAGAGAATCTGGACTGCCTTTGGTGGGCCCTGAGTGGAGGCTCATTTTGTGGCTGCCAAGGTGGCAAGACAGGAACGGGAGCTTCTTTGAGGGCTCAGAAAAGTGAGTGAAGGTCTCCCCACCCCAGGAACAATGGGGACCTGGGGGGTCAGGAATGGTTCTCCAGGCTCGGGGAGCAGGGCCAGACATGGAGGTGGCAGTGGTTGCTCACGAATGTGAGAGGAGATGTGGTAAAAAGGTAATTAGATGACATTCAGATGCCCTCACCTGTCAGACTCGAGAGCAGGCCATCCTCTGGTGGCTGGTGATGGCCCAGCCCAAGGTTCCCATCAGAGCCTTGCCCACAGCTTATGTGTGGACACATGGGAGGGGCACCTGGAAACTTGCAGCCACCTTGTTGAGATGAGGACTGGATCTGCTGGATCTGGTAGGAGGTGAGGAGGAGCATCTTGGAGGGAGGCCTGGGAGGAGGGCCCTGCAGAAGGTAACTGCTCACAGTCACTCCGGTGGCCAGGGCGGCTGCTCACAAGGCCTTTCTCCAGGACAAGGATCTTCGGGAAGAGAGGGATGTTTGAGGTAAGGGGGTGTCCAGAAGGCAGTGGGAGGCCCTGAAGAAAAATCTGCAGGAATCATCCCCAGTGCAGTATATGGAGGCCTCCAGCTTCTCTCATACCTTTGGAATACATCCAGGATCTCGTCACCTGGCACCAGTCTTGCAGCCCTATCCTGGACCTGACACTCGATCATCCCTCACCTGATTAGGCTAGTGGCCTCTGTTTGGTCTCCTGGCACCAGCCCCACTGCTCCCCACACAGCTGCCGGGATACCTTTTCACCTCTGCTCCCTCGTTCACAGCTGTCATTTCTCATAGCAGTCAGTTTCATCAAGGCCAGCAGCCCCTTTCCTCACTACCCTCATCACCTGTCACTCCCCAGCCTCTTACTCGTGGCTGCCACTGTGAGTACTTCCAGGGACACTCCAAGGGTGAACACCTGCCCCCTTTGCAAGGCTGCTCTCTACCCCTGACCAGCCCCCATCACACCTGGACAAACAGCTGCCAGCAGCTTCCTTGGGCAGGGGTGCTGCTCAGGTGCCATTGCAGCTCACTTCCAGTAGGGAGCACTGTGTGCCTCACTGGGCCATGGCCTAGAGTCCCACACGAGCCGTTTTGCTGGTTGCCTGAGCCACTCTGACTTGGCTGTGCCTCAGTCCAGGTAGCTTTTGAGGGCAGATGCTGGGTCCCAGGACTCTGCCCTGAGATGTCATTTGTGGCCTTGGTCTGAGCTCTGCCATCACGTACTGTAGTTGTGCCCAGGAACTCCGGGCTGGCAACTAGCTTTAGCGCTCAATATTTTTTGTTCATTAAAGGTTCGGAGGAACCCATTTGGTTTTCATCCTATGGGACAAGAAGCCAAATAGTGAAGAAGATAGTGTCTAAGAGGGGAGGGGCTCTGCTTAGGTGAGAACGCACCTGTGGGAGATGAGGAGGGTGTGTGGAGGCTTGGGGACCTGGAGGAAAGGTGGGGTGGTGTACAGCATGATGGTGCTGGCACCCACTATTAGCAGCAGTGGAGACGAGCCCTCCGGGTGATGTGTGGTGGCGACTCCAGTTAGTGGGTCTCTTCCCTGCCCTGCTGTGGGTCTGATATATGCAGATGAGGCAGATGGGATGCTGGGTCTAGATGTCCCTGGGAAGGGGGCGCAACTGTTGCAGTGGCTGCCTGCTGGCCTAGCACAGGCCTTGCAGGTCTCCAAGCTTCCTGAGAGTTGTCCTCCTGCCCATGGCAGGGCACCATGTGTCCGCAGGCCCATAGCATAGGCCTGCCTTCAGACTTGCTGGCTCTTTTGAGGCAGAGCCCCATGTTTAGTGCTGGTGTAAACAGAGCTCCAGAAGATGCAGATGGGAATGCTGGAGGCTTGTAAAAGGGGTGAACTGCACTGCCATCTTAGAAGGGGGAGAGCGCCAGGTGTGCCTTCATTATTTTACTTTCTGGGAAAGGTTGCTTTGTGTTTCCAGTGATCCTGGTTGAGTGAGCCTCAAGAAATCATGGTGGCCAGACTGGAAGGGCTGTGCAGGGGAGAAAGTGGGCCATACCCTGGGTGTGGTCAGAGCCCACCTGGAACCTTGAAGAAGAGAGGTTTGGAGGTTAGCAGTCCCCAACCCTCACTCTTTCCACGTCGAGGGTACCTGGTTTCTAGCTGCCTTGTGCCTGGCTTAGACAGGCAAGAGCTGACTGGGCGACAGTTTACTTTGAGCTGAGAGAGGTCCCCCGGAGCCAGTGCTTCCTAAGTGTTCCCAGCAGCCAGCTGGTGGCAGTGCTGACCTGCACTGATGCCACCTGACAGCGCCTTCCTCATGGGTGCTGGGTGGGCTTTCTGAGTCCTCTGTTTATGACTGAGTGTTCTGTCCTAAGGGAGAACTTCCTTGCCTATTTCCCTTGTCCATTCCGCTGTTTGCATTTTAATCCAATGTGCTATAATCCATTACTTTGTTATTCATGCTATTGCTCTAACTTTAAATGTCGCCCACTAACCCTGATCCAGCACCCTCTTCTGGTGCTCAGGCTGGCACTTACGGCTACCCAGGGTTTGTGGCCTGTTTGCTTGCAGGCTCCAAGGAGTGGCCCCTGCTGGGCCCAGCACCTGGGGTGACTCCCAGGAGGTTGGGGAGTCCCGAATAAACACGTGGCCACAGTGACCACCAGCATTTGGTGGTCCAGACCCTGTGGTTGATGATTCTGTCTGACATCACAGTCCCCTTGAGGACTGTACAACTTGTCCTCTGACATGATGTTGTCCAACCCTATCTTTTATCTCCCCTACAGGCTCCTCAGAGGTGTTCCTGCCCCCAGACCCCATCTTTGCCTCAGCCATGTCTGAGAACGACAACGTGTTCTGTGCCCAGCTCCAGTGCTTCCACTTCCCCACCCTGCGGCACCACGACCTCCACAGCTGGCACGCCGAGAGCTGCTACGAGAAGTCTTCGTTTCTGTGTAAAAGAAGTAAGCCCCCTTGAGTTAGCCTTCTTCGGGAATGTCTGGGCCCTGGTGTCACCTCGTTGGACCCTGAGTTCAAGGTTTCTGAGGCAGAACCTGATTTGCTGTGTTGTGGTGGATGCCCTTCACCAGCTCACACCTTGTTCTCAGGGCCCGTTTGCGGCTCTGTGACCAGGGCAGCTGGTAAGCATCTTAGAGCCCACCGTTCTCTTTCCCAGGGAAGAGACGATCATCCCTGTCCTCCCGGTTGCAGTGTTGTTAAGCAATTAAATGGGAATGAGGACCCAGAGACTTGGCAATCTGTGGCGTCCCTGGAGCATCTGAGTTCATTGGTCACCTCCCCCACACAAACTGCGGGTCCTTCTGCCATCCTTCTCTCTGCTTCTCTGTTCACCTTGCCAGTCTGTGGTGGTGTTTTTAAGCCAGTTGACTCTTTATTGCTTTTGGGGGGGCAGGGCCTTAGGAGCTCTTGGCGGGTTGGGTCCCCTTCCTCTTCACCATCACAGGCTCCTGGCTTTGCAGGATGGCGCTGGTCCTGGGATGGCAGCTGTACACAGGTTGTGGGGGGCTTTGTTCTTGCAGATCATGTGTCTGATGTTGTTGAGCATGGTGCAGGTGTTCTTGTTGACAGTGGTCCTCTCATCAGAGGTGGCTGGCTTCCACTGGCCAGATCTCTACTCCATGACCACCACCATACCTTTGCCATCAGCTGCCAGCTCTACACCCACAGTCCTGTGATGGTGAATCAGCTTGTTACAGGGCAAAGAGTTGTAGACTTCAAGTTCTCAGGCTCAGTGCTGTGGGTCTGCTTATTCCTCTTGATCGGGCCCAGCCATTCCTCGAGACCATCCATTGCAGATGTGCAGACAGGGCGGTGGCTCCTCCCAGGTGGCTGGCAAAGGAGAGGGCTTCGTGCTAAACCTTGACAGCTGGCCTTATGACTTCCTCTGCCTTGTTTTTACCTATTTTTTACCCTTCTCATGTGAATTTCAGTTTTCTGATCTCCTTTATTGGTTCTCTTAGTTTGTGGATTTTCATAGATTTTCTGTTTAGATGGGTTTGTTTCTTCTTTCAGATCTTTGCCATTTATCTATTTATTTACATTTATTAAAGATGTGGTTTTACTATGTTGCCCATTCAGCTCTTCTTGCTACAGTCTCCAGGACAGTGTTGATTAGAAATGGCGGTAGTGAGCATTCTTGTCTTCTCAACTTAAAAGAGAATGCTATTTTAGTGTGTCAACATTCTATAGAATGCCTTCTATGAGATTTTAGAATGTACCTGTGTAAAGTCAAGGAAGTACCTTTCTGTCCCTAGGCTACTGGGAATATTTATGTTACAAAAGTATATTGATTTTTATTAAATGTTTTTAATGCATTTTATTGGGATTATGTGGTTTTTATTCTTCAATTTGTTCAATCATTTTTTACGATCTTCAGATCGTATAAATCTTTCACCATATATAATATATATATATAAAATATATATATAAATAAAATTTATATATATATAAAACATATAAAATATATATATATATAAAACATATAAAATATATATATATATATATATATATATATATATATATATATATATAAAATATTCCTGGATTTGGTTTGCTGATTATTTAGAATTTTTGAAACTCCTTTAAGAAGTGAGGTTGGCCTGTTACATTTTTTTTTCTATACTCTCCTTGACTCTTCTTTTTTTTTTTTTTTAAAGGTGGGGCATTAATATGTTACCCAGGCTAGAATGCAGTGGCTAATCACAGCCACGATCATAGCACAGTACAGTTTTGAACTCTAGGGTCAAGTGATCCTTCTGCCTCAGCCTCCCAAGTAGCTGGGACTACATTGACCCATTTCTGTACTATACTGTATTAGTTTTATAAAATGAGTTGGCAGACTTAATTTTCTGTTGTCTAAATGCACTTGTACAAGTTGGAGATAACCTTGTCCTTGAGTTTTTGATAGAACCCACCTTATAGGACCATCTGGGCCAGGGAGGGAGACTTCTGTAACTTGTTGATTTAAAAATGATTTCAGGGCTGGGCGTGGTGGCTCACGCCTATAATCCCAGCACTTTGGGAGGCCGAGGCGGGTGGATCACGAGGTCGAGACCATCCTGGTCAACATGGTGAAACCCCGTCTCTACTAAAAATACAAAAAATTAGCTGGGCATGGTGGCGCATGCCTGTAATCCCAGCTACTCAGGAGGCTGAGGCAGGAGAATTGCCTGAACCCAGGAGGCGGAGGTAGTGGTGAGCCGAGATCGCGCCATTGCACTCCAGCCTGGGTAACAAGAGCGAAACTCCATCTCAAAAAAAAAAAAAAAAAAAAAAGATTTCCAGCTTATGGAAAAGCTAGAATAATACAAGGAACTTCCCTTTTATGTACCCTTTATACAGACTCACCAGTTACAGTATTTCAATTTTACCATATTTGCTTTATCATTCATTTTCTCTGCATATTTTTTCTGAATCATTTCAGAGTAAACTGAAGATACTGTGGACCTTAAGCCTTATATACTTCAGTGTGTATTTCCTGAGAACAAGGATACTCTCTTATGTACCCACACTATATGGATCAAAATTCGGACACTTAACATGGATGCAGTACCATTCAGTAATCCATAATCTGTTATTCCAGTTTTATCAGTTGTTCCAATAATATCCTTTATAGCTATTTGTTTCCTGGTCCAGAATCATGGATTGCATCTAGTCATCATGTCTCTTGGATTCTTTTAGTTCTTCAGTTTGAGTAATTTCTGTTGGCCTGAATTCAGGTTTATTTATTCTTTCCTTGGCTATGTCAAGTCTACATGAGCCCATTGAAGGCTTTCTTCGTCTGTTCCGTTCATTTTGTCTGTTTTTTTTAATTTCTAGGATTTCCATTTGATTTTTAAAGTTTCCATCTCTCGTCCGAATTTCCCATCTAATCTTGTATATTGTCCACCTTTTCCATTGGAGCCTTTAACAAATTAACTATAGTGATTTTAAATTCCATGTGGGAAAGTTTCTTCATTTGTGTCATATTTGAGTCTGGTTTTGTTGATTGTTTTGTCTCTGGAGCATGGTGCTTTTTTCTAGGCTTTTCGTTGGAAATCTGACATCTCGTATAGGACAATAGAGACTGAGTTCAGTAGTTCTGGTGCTTGCAGTGGCCATGCCTTTCCCTCCACTAGGCCCTTCTTGTGGGGAGGGCTTATTACAGTGAGGGGCATTAATCTGGGCTGGGCTTGGGGTTCGTTGGCACTGTAGTTGCCCTCAGTGTACCTCAGGCTTTCATATTCAGTAGCATTGATGTTCAGGGTGGAGGCTGGTTTACCCAGAGGGTTTTTCTTAATGTCTGCTCTACCCTCCACTTTAGGTCATCTGTTTGGGCCACATTTCTAGAGTCTATCTCTTGCGGCCCACCGAGCAGTAGTCCACTGTGTGACTCAAGGCTTGTTAGCCTACAGATAGTAGGGGCTGATGTTCTAATTGTACCTCAGCCTGAGGCAGGCCCAGTGCCCTGAGTATCCAGGGTGGAGCCTTCACAAGTGCTGCTGACGCTCCTCCAGCTGGAGTTGGGTCCAGCACAGTGGCTTTTCACCAGGGCCCTAAATGCTCCCAGGTATGCTTTGATGAGAGGCAGGCTGACTAGAAGCAGGGCAGTGGAGGTGACTGGTTTGGGGAACATATTGACTATCCTTGGTGGGTTTTGAGTTGAAAGTACGGACACAAAATAGAGAAGCTGGTGGCCACTAACCAGACCCTGACTGCCCTAAACTGGTTGCCACAGAAGTTGTAGATTAGAGGTCTTTGATCATCTGTGATCTGGCCTTTGTCAGGTGTAATAATGAGGCAGAAATGTTCTATAAGTTCAATCATATAGTCTGCCACCTTTTGGAGTTGTCTTTTTTCACTCATAATTCCCTGGAGAGTCATCCAAATTGTTACTTATATTAATAATTTGTTCATTTTGGAGGGGGTGGGGGCGCAACAAAGTCTCTGTCACCCTGAATTACAGTGGTGTGATCACTGCTCATGGCAGCCTCAACCTCCCAGGCTCAAGCGAACCTCCCACTTCAGCTTCCTGAGTAGCTGGAACCACAGGCGCATGCCACTGTGCTCCGCTTATTTTTGTTTTTTTTTTTCGTAGAGATAGAATTTTGCCATGTTGCCCAAGCTGGCTCAAACTATAGGCATCAAGTGTTGAAGGACATCTGGGGTGATTCCAGTTTTTGGCTATTACAACGAAAGCTTCTGTGAACATCCACATACAGGTTTTTGTGCAAACATATTTTCTTTTTTCTTTTCTTTTTTTTCGTTTTGTGAGACAGTCTTACTCTGTTGCCCAGGCTGGAGTGCAGTGGCACAGTCTTGGCTCACTGCTTCTGTCTCCTGGGTTCAAGCAATTCTCATGTCTTAGCCTCCCAAGTAGCTGGGATTACAGGCATGTGCCACTATGCCCAGCTAATTTTTGTCTTTTTATTTTATTTTTGAGACGGAGTTTCGCTCTTGTTACCCAGGCTGGAGTGCAATGGCGCGATCTCGGCTCACAGCAGGTTTTGCCATGTTAGCCATGTTGGTCTTGAACTCCCAACCTCAAATGATCCACCCACCTCAGCCTCCCAAAGTGCTGGGATTACAGGTATGAGCCACCGCACCTGGCCACAAACATGTTTTCAATTTTCTGTGATAGATGCCCAGGATTGCAGTTGCTTGGTTGTATCATAGTTGCATGTTTAGTTTTTAAAGAAACAAGCAAACTGTTTATCAGAGGGACTATACTAATTTACGGTCCCACTAACAATGTAGGACTGATCTCATTTCTCCAGATCGTCTCTAGTGCTTAATGTTTTCACTATTTTTCATCTTAGCCCTTCTATTAGGTACGCAGATATGTATATAGGCATGTAGCTCCTTATGGTTTCAATTTGCATTTCCCTGAGGCTAATGATGTTAAAACCTTGTCATGTTTCACATGCTTATTTGTTCTCTTAGTTGTTTATGTTATCTTTCCATTTTCTGTTTGTATAGTTTTTTCATTTTGTTTTGAGGAAGGGTCTTGCTCTGTCACCCAGGCTCAAGTGCAGTGGTGCAATCATAGTTCACTGTAACCTCTAGCTCCTGGGCTCAAGCAGTCCTCCCACCTCAGTCTCCTGAGTAGCTAGAACTATGGCTGTGCACCATCATGCCTGGCTAAGTTTTTATTTTCTATAGTGTCACTGTTTGCCAAGACTGGCCGCAAACTCCTGGGCTCAAGTGATCCTCTTCTTGACCTTCCAAAGTATTACAGGTGTGAACCAATAATCTGTTTTGTTTTTGTTTTTGTTTTTTAACTGTTGAGTTTTGAGAATTCTTTATGTATTCTAGATAACAGTCCTTTGTCGGATATGTGGTTTGCAAATATTTTTTCTAGTCTGTAGCTTGCCTGCATCCTCTTCAGGAACAAAAGTTTTGTTGTTGTTTTCCTGGCAGTATAAGTTTACCCAGAGAACAAAAGTTCTTAATTTAAGTTAAGTCCTAGTTATTAGTTTCTCCTTTTATGGATTATTCTTTCTTTTTGGCTCACTGCAATCTCCACCGTCTAGGTTCAAGCAATTCTTGTGCCTCAGCTTCCCAAGTAGTTGGGATTACCAACATGAGCCACCATGGCTGGCTAATTTTTATATTTTTAGTAGAGATAGGATTTCACAGTGTTGGCCAGGCTCATCTCAAACTCCTGATCTTAGATGATCCACCTACCTCAGCCTCACCAAGTGCTGGGATTACAGGCATAAGCCACTGCACCCAGCCTCCCTTTATGGATTATTCTTTGGGTGACAAGTCCAAGTACTCCGTCTAGCCTTACATTTCCTCTGTGTTCTTTTTTTCTAAAATTTTAATCATTTTCCGTTTTACATTTAAGTCTAGGAGGCATTTTGAATGAATTTTTTAATAAGTTGTGAAACTTAGGTCAAGGTTCTTTAGTCCAGTATAGCTTTGCTCCCACACACCACCTTTGTGTCATTCTTAGCAAATCTAAGTGTGTTACATTTTTCTGTGTTATAGACCCAACACTATATTCCATACATACTTTATACAATTACTTATTTTTATTTTTTGAGCCAGAATTTCCCTCTTGTTGCCCATGCTAGAGTGCAATGGTGCAATCTTGGCTCATCGCAGCCTCCACCTCCCGGGTCCAAATGATTCTCCTGCCTCAGCCTCCCTAGTAGCTGGGATTACAGGCGCCTGCCACAGCGCCTGGCCAATTTTATCTTTTTAGTAGAGATGGGGTTTTACCATCTTAACCAGGCTGGTCTTGAACTCCTGACCTTGTGATCCACCCACCTCAGCCTCCCAAAGTGCTGGGATTATAGGCATGAGCTACCACACCTGGCCTTACAATTGCTTTTTAAATCAGCTAAGAGAATAAAGGAGGAAAACTATGCATGCAGGCTATAATTTATGATCATATGATTGCCTTTACTGTTGCTCTTGAGTTTCTTGTGTGTATTCAAATTATTCTCTGGGGATCGCATACTTTTAGCCTGAAAACGTCCTTTAGCGTTTCTTATAAGGTGGGTCTGTAAACAACTTCTTTCAGTTGTTGTCTGTCTGGGAAAGTTTATTTTACTTTCATGTTTCAAAAGGTATCTCAGCTGGTTATGGATCTTGGTTGATGGTTTTCTGTGAGCAGTTATCCCACTGCTCCAGCCTCTGTTGTTTCTGCCGACAAGTCAGTCGTTTGTCTTATTGGGTTTCCCTTATAAGTAATAAGTCATTTCCCATTTGTTGCTTGTCTTATTTTCCCCTTGTCTTTCACTTTCAGCATTTTCACTCTCATGTGTCAGTTTGTGGCTCCTTTGCATTTATCCTAGGTGGAGTTTGTTGAGCTTCATGGATGTGTAGATTATTGTTTGTCTGTGAATTCGAGTAGTTTGCAGCTGTCCTTTAACGATTTTTTTCTATTTTTTTCTCTCTCTCCTCTTCATTTGTTACTCCTATTTCACATACGTTGGTGTGCTTAATGGTGTTCCATGTTTCTCTAGGAGCTCTGTTCATTTTTCTTCATTCTTTTTTCTCTGTTTTAGCCAGGGAATAATTGTATGTGAGTGTCTTGCCCTGGGAGTTCCTGACCACATGGGTGACCTTTCAGTTGTTGTCTGTCTGGGAAAGTTTATTTTACTTAAAAAAAAAAAAAGATTGCACCGGGCGCAGTGGCTCAAGCCTGTAATCCCAGCACTTTGGGAGGCTGAGGTGGGTGGATCACGAGGTCAAGAAATCGAGACCATCCTGGTCAACTTGGTGAAACCCCGTCTGTACTAAAATTACAAAAAAATAGCTGGGCGTGGTGGTGTGTGCCTGTAATCCCAGCTACTCGGGAGGCTGAGGCAGGAGAATTACCTGAACCCAGGAAGTGGAGGTAGCAGTGAGCCGAGATCGCGCCATTGCACTCCAGCCTGGGTAACAAGAGCGAAACTCCGTATCAAAAAAGAAAAGATTGGGGTCAAATCTTTTTTGACCCCAATTTTTTTTTTTTTTTAAGTAAAATAAACTTTTTTTTTAAGACAGAGTCTCGCACTGTCTCCCAGGCTGGAGTGCAGTGACGTGATCTCACCTCACTGTAACCTCTACCTCCCGGGTTCAAGAGATTCTTCTGCCTCAGCCTCCAAGTAGCTGGGATTACAGGCTCATGCCATCACACTTGGCTAGCTTTTTTATTTTTAGTAGAGACAGGGTTTCACCATGTTGGCTAGGCTGGTCTCAAACTCAAGACGTCAGGTGATGCGCCCACCTTGGTGCTGGGATTACAGGTGTCAACCACCATGCCCAGCTGGCTCCAGTCTTAAGTGAAGCATAGTCCTGTGGTTGTGAAATACCAGAAGAATCTTTTTCTAGACATCCCCACCGCATTTGGAGACTGGAACAAGCTACCTTCTCATGGATCTTTGCCTTTCACTGAACGTGGGTCTCTTGCAGGCTCCTTCATCCCTTGTCTCTTCCTCCAGGCCTTTGCAATGTCTGCTTACCAGTTGAAGACTGGGTTTTTAGCCATGGCCATTCCTCTTACTCGTCCCAGGTCAGCTCTGTGTAGAGTGTACCTCAGGTCCAGGGGACTGTCTTCCCAAGCAGAACTGGCAGCTTCCTTAGACACATTCTGACTTTAAAATGGTTAATACTCATAACAGCTGCATTTTAGAACTGAGGAAATCTCATGAGTAGTCTACTTTGGCAACTTCAAAGCAAACACTTCTGCAGGGACCCTGGAGTCTGACATTCTGCTTCATTGTGGCTCTCTGGCCTCCATTTGCCCTGGTCAAGGTGTGCTTTGTCCTAACAGTGTGTTGTAGTAACTGCTCTTGGACAGCCACTCCCTGTGTCATGGGGCAGATCCATGGTGTTCCAGGAATAGGAAGACTCTTAGCACAATCTGGCCAACTCTTTTGTTGCCTTGTTCGTTCCCCAGGCCCAAATGGGGAAGGTCAGCTTATGTCAGATGGTGCAGCAGTGATGGCAGTGTTTGCTCACAGAGCTGTCTCAGAGGCTTTGATGCCACTACTCTAGTGGGAATGTCTCATGTGACCCCTCAAGCTGCCTCATTCCCGTTCTAAGGTAACAGGTAGCATTCACAGGCCCACATGGGGAAGCTCCCGTTTTTGGCAATGTATACATCTGTACACAATGGATGCTCATTGCAGGTCAAACATGTGTTGACATCAAGGACAACGTGGTGGATGAAGGGTTCTACTTCACCCCTAAGGGGGACGATCCATGCCTGAGCTGCACCTGCCATGGAGGGGAGCCTGAGATGTGCGTGGCTGCTCTCTGTGAGAGGCCCCAAGGCTGTCAGCAGTACCGCAAGGACCCCAAAGAGTGCTGCAAGTTCATGTGTCTGGACCCAGGTGAGACTCTTGATAGTAGGTCCCAAGCCACCCTCCCTATTTGGAGCGGGAGGCTGGGGGTCCCTTTACTACCACAGTGGTGAGGACTCAGGAGAGTTTATGGAGCATGGCGCAGCAGCAATGGTAGCTTTTGCTCACAGAGATATCTAAGAGACTTTGATGTCACTATTCTAGTGGGTGTGTCTGACATGACTCCTCCAGCTGCTCCTTTCCATTCTGGGTTGACAGCATCCACAAATGAACTTGAACTTGAGTGCGGCTGTTTGTTCACAAATCACCACTGAGAGCTTCACACTTGTCTTCTCTTTTTAAGACTCCAAGCTAGACTTCCTTTTTTTTTTTTTTTTTTTTAATAGACAGAGTCTCACTCTGTTGCTTAGACTGGAGAGTGCAGTGACGCGAATTCAGCTCACTGCAACTTCCGCCTCCTGGGTTCAAGCCATTCTCCTGCCTCAGCCTCCCTAGTAGCTGGGATTACAGATGTGTGCCACCATGCCAGACTAGTTTTTTTATTTTTAGTAGAAGCAGGGTTTTGCCATGTTGTTCAGGCTTGTCTTAAACTCTTGACCTCAAGGGATCCACCCACCTCAGCCTCCCAAAGTGCTGGGATTACAGGCACGAGCCACTGCACCCAGCCTAGACTTGTAATTTATGTACACATTGGAGCTCTTCCTGTTCTCTAGTATGATGATACGGCGGGTAGTGACGTGACGGTTTTCGTTGCTTACAGTCAATCATTTTACCTTAGAATCTTCAAGAAAAAGATGAAACATTATTCTCAATTTCTAGATCAAACTCACCACCACCAGGTGTGGCTTTAAGATAGACACTACACGGAATCTGATCTCGGGGTAATCCTCTCCCTTCCATTTGCAAAAAGAGAGGGGCAGGTGGGCTGCTGCTCTCTCAGATTTTTTTTTTTTTTTTTGAGAAGAAGTTTCGCTCTTGTTACCCAGGCTGGAGTGCAATGGCGCAATCTTGGCTCACCACAACTTCCACCTCCTAGGCCCAGACAATTCTCCTGCCTCAGCCTCCTGAGTAGCTGGGATTACAGGCCGGTGCCACCATGCCCAGCTAATTTTTCCTATATTTTTAGTAGAGACGGGGTTTCACCATGTTGACCAGGATGGTCTCGATCTCTTGACCTCGTGATCCACCCACCTCAGCCTCCCAAAGTGCTGGGATTACAGGCTTGAGCCACCGCACCCGGCCCTCTCTGAGATATTAACAGCCCTCACACTCCAGGGGCATGCTTTGTCATTCTGCACACCGGTGCAGCTGCAGCTCTGTGTGAATTTAGATCTCAAGAGAAATGTAAATCAAAAGCGTGAGTTTCTTTCTTTCTTGGGTGCCACAGTAAAAGCATGACATCATGGGGACTTGTGGAAGCCCCTGGACTTGTGGCCCCTGTAGAAGAGCAGTTTGGTCAGGGTGTGATGGCCATATCTGTCTCCAGGGGCCCTGTGGAAGAGAGGCTGCAGCTAGAGGGTGGGTCACCACAGCGAGAGCTGCCTCTGAGTGGAATGTTGTTAGTGTCCCTCCACACCAGGAAGGCTGCTGGGTGGGAGGACAGAGCCATCCTCCAGAGGCCGTGCCTGAGGCTAGGTGAAAGTAGGCACTCTGGCATGTACCATCAGACATGTACAGTTGACTCTACTGAGCACAAAGGCTATATTTGCAGCCAAGCTCACCAGAGGACCCAGAGCTAGAAGGTGATGCTTGGATCCCATTCTACAGGGCAGTTTTCTCCTCATATAGGGTTCATGCCCGTTTAGGGCCATAAGGAACACCAGTTGCATGCTTACCAAGTTCCCTGTGCCCAGCTACAGAACTTCAAACCTCCAGCTCAGTGACTGGCTACTAGAATCAAACTTTGTTCCCAAGCCATGTTACCTGGACTCCTGGTTTCATTTCTCAGGAATCTACCAGTGTTGCCTTGCCAGTGGGTCCAAGCTTTATAAGAATGCCCGGATGTGTACAAGGATGACTTGTTTGTGGGCATGTATGGCCTAAGGAGCCTGCCTAACCCCAAGGACTTCTTAGCAGATCAGGGCCTTAGTGCATCTGGATGGGCCCAGAGCAGCTGCAGCCCTCTCTCCTGCACAGCCAGAGCAGCCTGGTCAACATGGTGAAACCTCATCTTTACTAAAAATACAAAAATTGGCCGGGCGCGGTGGCTCACACTTGTAATCCCAGCACTTTGGGAGGCCGAGGCGGGTGGATCACGAGGTCAAGAGATCAAGACCATCCCGGTCAACATGGTGAAACCCCGTCTCTACTAAAAATACAAAAAATTAGCTGGGCACGGTGGCGCGTGCCTGTAATCCCAGCTACTCGGGAGGCTGAGGCAGGAGAATCGCCTGAACCCAGGAGGCGGAGGTTGCGGTGAGCCGAGATCGCGCCATCGCCCTCCAGCCTGGGTAACGAGCGAAACTCCATCTCAAAAAAATAAAAAAAAAAGAAATAGACATATAGATCAATGGAACAGAATAGTCCAGAAACAGTTCCACACTGCATATAATCAAGTGATCTCTCTCTCTCTAAGACTAGTCAAGTGCAGTAGGGAGAACGGGAAAAGAGTAGAACAAGGAGTTTGATCTGTTACTGACTGAACAATCAATCGAGATAACTCCCTACATTCAGATCAGCCATCTTTGACAGGCCAACATCTTTGACAAAGGTTTAAGGGCAGTTCAGTGGAGAAAGGATAGTCTTTCAATGACTGGTACTGGAACAGCAGGACATACATAAGCCAAAAAAATAACCTTACAGTGTGCCTCCTACTGTATGTAAAATTTACTCAAAATGGTCATAAACACAGCTGTAAAACCTTGAACTATAAAGCTTCTAGGAGAAAACAGGAGAGAAATCTCTGTGACCATGCATTAGGCAACATTTTTAGCATGATCCTTAAAAGAAAAAAATGGACAAATTCAGCTTCATCAAAATTAAAAACTCCTGTTATTTGGAAGATGTTGTTAAGGAAGTGAAAAGATAAGCTCCTGACTGAGTCAAAACAAATATTTGCGAAACACAAATCAAAGGTCTTGTATTCAGAATACATAAAAACTCAGTAGTAAGAAAACAAAACAACTCTATTGAAAAAATGGCTTTAGAAAAATATTTAAATTACTACACTTTACCAAAGAAGATATAGGATGGCAGTCAGGCACTTGAAACAATGCTCAGTATTGGCCATTAGGGAAACAAACTAAACCCACATGGTGTAATACCCATGTGCTCAAAAGGCTAAAATAATGAAACTGACAGCACCAAGTGCTGGCTGAGGTACACAGCAGCTAAAACTCATGCTGCCCTCTGCCCCTTCTTGTTCTGCTGCCATAAGGCAGCCCTGCTATGATGAGGTTCCCAGAATCGTGGTGAGGTGTTTGGCCAGTGCAGCCCCCAGGCACAGAGCCCATGTTGGGTTCCTGGGTCTCAGCCTCTGATCCCTGCTGACCTTCTGCTCCCCCTGCCATCTCTGACGGAGATTCTGAAACTTACCATGTAACCAAGCTCAGTGAAACGGTGAGCTCCTTGTCACTGGAGGTCTTCATGCACAGGCTGGATCCTCTCTGGGAGCTGTGGGGTGGCTGAGAGACAGAAGACAACCCTGACTGCACAGCCCAGAACCCCATGGCGGAGCCAGCCCTATGAGGGGCTCTGGGGCTCCTGGGCTGGCCTCTGGCTTCTTTCCTTTGTGCTGGACTACAAGTGGCTTGGTTCTGAGAGATGATTTCTGGTCCCCTTGGAGGGACAGTTAGGACCTTGACCATGTCATTGGGTTTATTTTAGAACTGTTTAAAAGTTAGTCATTGCGAAGGGGCTTCTTCTTTAGGAGCTCCCCTGGGATCTCTGAGCTGGCCTCCAATTAACAGGCACTTCGGCAGCCCCCAGGCCACTGGGCTTTCTCCCACTGATGGGTGAAGAGCACCCTTGAGACTGGAAGAGGGTCAGAGGCATCAGGAAAAGCAGCTAATTGGTGAGAGGATGTATCCTTCTCACATGTTTACTTCATGTTTCATCAGCAGCAAATGCAGCTTTTGGAGATGCTTCCTGGCCCTGTGGGAGGAGGGCAGAAGCTGGCGCTACTGCCTGTGTGGGTATGGAGTGTTCCGGGGTAGCAAGAATGGCTTGAGGGCTCTGGGAGCCCGGCCACTCACATGGGGCTTATTAAGTGTCTACTTGTGGCAGGCAGCTGGGGTCTTGCCTCAGAGGTGGGAGTGACCATTCATTAGCTTAGTAGGGTCCCTGGTGGTGTAGGGTTCTCCTGCTTCCAGGAGCTGTTGGGTCACTCCTCGTTTTGAAGCCTCCTTGGCCTTCACTTTTGGTCTGTGGAGGCAGCTACTTCTGGGACCACTTCCTGGTTCCATTATTCTGTGACTTGTGTGAGTTGCCAGTTTACCTAGGTCAGGAGTGCATGGACGTGCCAGTCATGTTATAGACACGTGACTGGTATAAATTATCCCTTCATACCTGGTACTACACACATCATCTCTGCTTCCCCATGGGTATCTCATAGTGAGCCCCTTAGCCCTGGTGTGCACTGCAGTAGGGCAGGGTGTCTCCCTCTTGGCGCTGTTGACGTTTGGACCAGATACCGTGTGATGAGCACTGTCCTGGGCAGAGTAGGATGTTGGGCAGCGCCCGTGGCCTTCAGCCGCTGAGTACTAGTAGCACCCCAGCCAAGTGGTGGCCATGAAAAGCATGAAAGGGTCCAGGAAGAGCAGAGGATGGTGCAGCAGCTTAGCCCTGGTGCTCCTTGGCGTCTTGCCTGGCTGGGACTCAGCTTCATGGCCCTTCCTGCCCACTTACCCAGCAAAGAGGTGGAATCGGGTCCACCCAGCCCTACTACACCTACACATGGTGCGTGTTTACCCAGTGTGTGGGTGTGGCTGAGCCAGTAGAGTGTCTCAGTGGGGAAGCGTGTGGGACCCAGTGCTGTGTCCATGTGTCATCTGCATGTGTGTGCCTGAGGCTGAGTGCATCAGGGGATGTGCATTTTCTCTGCCATGGCTTAAGGACTGAAGTGACAGACTTCACTCCCAACTACAGCAGAGGCTCATTTGTGAACCAACACCTGAGTTGACAGTACAGCTGCCCACAGGTGCTCACTGTCTCCCACACAGTCCATCAGAGACTTGTGACAATCTGAGTCCCAAGTGTACCTTGTGCTGTCACTTCTCCCCATCCCTACCTGGTCCAGGCCTCTGTCATTCCTTTCTCTGCCATAGCAGGCCCTCCTCCTGGCTTCCTGATGCCCTATGCTACTCGCCTGCAGCCTGTCCTCACCACGGCAGCCCCCCGAGCCACACTCTGCAGGGATGTCACTCCTACTCCAAAGTGCCAGCATCTGTCTTCCGTGAGACCCCTGCCTACCTGGCCAACCCTGGCCCCCAAAGGGACAGGCAGCCCCTCACCTCCCCCTGGCTCATTCTCGCTGGGCAGCTGAGCACCTTCCTCCCACGAGCCAGGCCTCAGACAAAAGGAAGGCCACTGTAAGGCACGGTCGGTGGCCTGTGCATAGCCCTGGCATGCGGGAAAGGGTGTACACGTCTGCCAGAGGGCCACTCCGCAGCCACACCTGGGGCACAGAGAGCATGAGCACAGCATCCTAGGAGTGCTGGTCCTAGGACTGGAAACGCCACTTTGCTGTGGTGATGGTCAGATGGGTGTTGGCGCACAGCAACCCCAGGGGCCATGGTGAGATGCTCGTCGTGACCTAGGATTTGCTCTTCTGCTTCTGTGTTGTCACCATGTTCTTATTTTGAGTGGCTTTATTTCACGTGTATCCTAAAGCTGGTCGAGTGCAGGGAGACACTGTGTGCCTCATCCACGCAGCCCACCTGGGCAGGAGGACAACAGCGTCCCCAGCCCAGCAGGAGGGTGGCCCCGCTTCTCAGAGTGAACATTTCCTCTCCTCCCCCTTAGATGGCAACAGCCTATTCGACTCCATGGCCAGTGGGATGCGCCTGGTCGTCAGCTGCATCTCCTCTTTCCTCATCCTGTCGCTGCTGCTCTTCATGGTCCACCGGCTGCGTCAGCGGCGCCGGGAGCGCATCGAGTCCCTGATTGGAGCAAACTGTGAGAGCCCTCTGAGCGTGACAGCCCTAGTCCCCATCCCCACCCTGTATCTCCATGAGCTCCCCAGCCCTGGGGAGAGAGGGGCAGAGGCAGATGGAGGGCCCCCTGGTCAGATTTGAGGACCACATGTTGTGGGGTCTGCGTCATCACCTGTTGGCCAGGAAAGTTCTTGCCAAGACCCTCCTTATTCCCGCTGAGCCACAGGGTGGGCAGAACTCAGAAGTCTCTAAGGGTCAGAGGCTGGGTCTGCCAGAACTGTCAGCCCAGAGGGACAGATTGGTGTGGTGAGGGTGGGACATGCTGCAGAGCATGGGGGTCTCATGGGGATGCCAACTGTGGCCAAAGGGTAGGCAACAGGGCGCAGACGCGTGCACTCAGAGACGGCAGGCCCAGCCTAGGTGTAGGGGCTCAGGAGCCAGGCATTTTGCCCCCAGTGACTTGGCTCTGTGCCTGTTTCTCACTTTTGATGGCCCAGTGCACCACTTCAACCTCGGCCGCAGGATCCCTGGCTTTGATTACGGCCCAGATGGTTTCGGCACAGGCCTCACGCCGCTGCATCTTTCTGACGATGGAGAGGGCGGGACTTTCCACTTCCACGACCCTCCACCTCCCTACACGGCATACAAGTACCCGGACATCGGCCAGCCTGACGACCCCCCGCCACCCTACGAGGCCTCCATCCACCCGGACAGTGTGTTCTATGACCCTGCAGGTGCCTGACTCCCCGGGGAGAGGGAACACCTTGTCAAGTGACCTGGCACATGAGGCTGAGCCAGTACTCCTACCCAGCTGCAGAGGCCTGGGGGCCCTCACTTCTTTCCGGCTTTGTCTTTGGTTTTCCCTTTAAGGCTCCTCCTGGGGCTGCCCATGCAGAAGGGGTCCTGATCTCCCTGCCTGGCCGCCCCTGGAGATCTATGCAGAGAGCTCTGAGGAGGCCTGGGACCCAACCCTTCTACTTCCCTCCCTTCCGTGAACACCTGTCAACCGGGCAGCCCTCGGGGCCCTCAGCCCAGCTCTAGAGACCTAGGGAGCTGGGCACTGGTGGTTGTGAGGATAGAGCTGGCCCAGACCCGGCAACCAGTCACTTGTCTGTAAAGACACCATGGTGACAGTCCCTCATGTCATGTCAGGAGGCAGCTCTGTGAGGTGGGAGGAAAGCACTGGTTCTGTGCTGCCGGCCCATAGTTGGAGTCTGCCACCCATCTGACAGTGGGCACCATTCCTCAAGGCTATGTAGCTAAGGAGGAGTGGCAGGCCGCCGAACCCTGGCCTGTCCCTGTCTCTGGTGAGCAGTGCAGAGGTGTCCCATCCCATCTCCCTGTGCATGAAGCCCCCTAACACACACAAACCTATTAGTGTACTTGGAGGCAATGCCACCCCAAGGTGGCCAGCTCCTCTCATACTCACACGTCTCAGCAGAATGGGCATCATGAGGCTGGTGCTGTTGGCCGAACAGTCTCAGTCCTGCTTGTTTGGTTAGCTGCCTTAGCTCTTGCATGATTTGGGGGTGCGGAAAAGTCTTGCATTCGACCCCTGCCCTCAGGACACAGATTGTCAGTCTTCCAGGCTAGGACCAGCTCGGTGGGTGGCAGCAAGTCCCAGATGCCTCTGTGGGCCAGGCTGCAGAGCAGGGGCGGGGGCTGTGAGGGGCTGGCCAGGAGGGAGGTGCATCACCAGGGCCATGTGCTGTCAGCTTTTAGAGATGGCCTGTGGTAATGACAGGCAGCCTAGGCACAGTGGCTCACGCCTGTAATCCAGCACTCTGGGAGGCTTAGGCGGGAGGAGGGGTCTCACTGTGTTGCCCAGGTTGGTTCAAGACCAGCCTATGAGACCTGTATCTCCATAAAAAATTCAAGACTAGCCAGGCATAGTGGGCACACCTGTAGTCCCCGCTACTGGGCGGGCTGAGACTGGAGGATCACCTGAGCCCAGGAATTCAAAGCTGTCATGAGCCACGATCATGTCACTGCATGCCGACATGCAGTCTTTTAAGAGCCTATCTCTTTAAAAAAAAAAAAAGTAATAAAAATCAGGCAAAACAAAGCGAGTTGACTCCCTACCACACAGCCTGCCTTCGATTGGAGCTTCCTGTAGATACCCACGTGGTTTTCCAGCCCGCTTGCTCCAGCCCTGTTGCCCACACTTCAGTTGCCAATTCCAGCTGCAGCCCTGAATGTTCTTCCACCCACCCTGGGCCCAGTGCCTCCCTGATGGCAGATGCCGCTGCCTTCCCGCTGAGTGGGGTCTCCACCCGTACTGAGTCTAAGACTGTTTCCCTTTGGGCCCCTCTGTTCTAGTGACTTCTGGTCAGTGTATCTCCCTCACCTCACACTGATGGAGGGACAGGCCGGTGTCAGCTGTTTGGGATGTGCCCTGCACCTTGCATATACCAGGTTCCCATCCACAGGGAGCAATAGGTACAACAGGGGTTGTGTGGGGCAGGCTTCCCCTTCAAAATCTGAGGCTTGGGGGCGTTCAGGCAGGAGGTATTCCCTGGTTCTGCCCAGCTCCCCTGCATCCCCTGTGCCAGGCCCATACCTGCCTCATACCCCTCTCTTTCTCTCTCTGCAGATGATGATGCTTTTGAGCCCGAGGAAGTCAGCCTGCCAGCACCTGGGGATGGTGGAAGTGAAGGTGCATTACCCCGGCGCCTGGAGCAGCCTCTGCCCACTGCAGGGGCCTCTCTGGCAGACCTGGAAGACTCTGCCGACAGCAGCAGTGCCCTGCTTGTGCCCCCTAACCCTGCCCAGAGTGGGAGCACCCCAGTTGCAGAGGCACTGCCAGGGGGCAGCCGCCACAGCCGCAGCTCCCTCAATACTGTGGTGTAGACGGTCCAGCCTGTACCCTAACAGTCTGGGAGCACCTGTATGCTGTCGAAAACACCTGTGGGAGACTTGAAAGGCCCCTGTCCCAGCCTGGACCCCGCGCACTGCTGCACATCACTGGCAGGCACGCGTGTGTACATAGAGACCATGGCCCGCCTCCTGCCAAAAGAAGTGGTGGCTTGCACCAAGCTTCCTTGAGGGCTTCAGAAACATGCATAGCTTTGGGTCACTGTCTCCTCATTTTTAAATAGCAGAAGAGTGACAAAATTGTTCAGTCCCACATTTTAAGAGGCAGGGAATGAAGAAAGTACTGTGGGGCCATGGCCACACCTGACATGTCTTTGGTGGGCTTGCTTGCTTCAGTGTGCTGTCCAGAGAGGCCTGCTGACCAGTCACCCAGCCTGGGTCGGGCACAGCGGGGGCTGCCATGGTGCCCCTTGCTGGCCGCCCTCAGGAGGGGGCCTCTGGGCTGTCAGGGTGGTATAGGCAGTGGGTCTGCTTCAGGGAGACAGCCTCTGAGTTTGCCACAATGACTACCCTGGGGCTCTGGAACCTGAAGCCCTGAGAAGGAGAGCTTTGAAGGAGATTGAGCTCTTCACTGTGTCTTTCCGTCTGGGCGCTCTGCAGCTCAGCTCTGTGGCAGGAGGCCTGACCCCACCCCGTCAGTCCCTCCCAACATTGCTGTGCATGGCTTCCCCAGGAGGAAGCTCTGGAGTGGCGCTGAGGCCCCAGGTGCTCTGCCAGGGCCTGGAGGCTGAGCCGCCTCCTGCCTCTCCTCTCTGGAGCCCTGGGCTCCTGCCTCCTGTTAAATTGCCCCTGGGCTTGCCCCTGACCTGGTTTGTGCCATAAAGGGTTGCTTCATTGGGGGTGGGGTGGCTGAAACCACCATCCTGAGCTGTATCTGTCTCCTTAGAGTCAACTCCTTAAACCACCACCACTGCTGCAGCTCTGCCCAGCAGCCGCATGCACACCTCGGCCCCTCCTCAGCAGTGCAGGGGCTGGGGACTCTGCCTGGGACCCTTTTCCCTAAAAGACCCTGTTGCCTGCTGCCGGGCAGTGGTCTTGAAGCCTGACACAGGGCCTTTAACGTTTCTGAGGTTTGGAGATTAAGCGGGTTCTGTGCGATTTTTAGCACATCCATATCTTTTCTACGTTGAATGTCTGGATCTTTCCTTTCTATGTTTGTGTCTCTGTGTGTGTATGTGGCCAAGTGTTTGCAGGTGAGGGTGGCACATGGAACTTTGCTGATGGGTGGGGGCCCACTCTTCCAGGGTCATCGATGCATCCTGGGCTGTGCTGAGGCAGGGCTGTGTCTTGCTCAGTCTTTTCAGACCAGCAGGACGAGGCCTGGCAGGAGCATGCCGTTCTGTGGTGCTGCTTGGGGATGGACTCCATGCACAGTCCACTTCTTGATACGTTGTCACACTGTGTCTGGAGACCCATTTTTTCCATCCCGTGTGGAATGAAAATCTTGAGTTGCCACAGACTTGGCCTTCATACCAGATCTGTGTTCTGTCACTGAATTGCTTGGCCTACTGGAGGCTGTGTGCTGGCAGGCTTGTGCTCCCCTTGCAGAAGGGCTGCTACTTCCTTGAGAAGGAAGTTCTGGCCACAAGACTCCCATGCTGGCTGCAGAGGACAAAGCAGGAAGCACATCATGCATGGGACAGTGCAGCCAGGTTCCAGAGCAGCCGGCATGTGCATTCTGGGTGCGTGGTGACCATCGAGGGCCTGAGGACCACATTGCAGAGTCCCCCATGGACCTGAGCCCAAGAGCTCAGAGGGTTTGTACCGGGCCTTAAAGCTCTGTGCAGCAGGGTGGCTAGCATGAGATCTGTAGGACTGGAAAGCTTCCTTTGGGGACCAGAGGAACATTAGGGCCAGTCAGGCATGTAGGGGGCATTGAGGAAGGGGCTAAAGTGGACCATGCCAGCTGCAGAGGGTGAGCCTCTGGGCTGGCCAGGGGTTTCTGGATGGCCCTTTCCCCATCGGCCTCCACAACTGTTTAGGTCAACTGGCACCTCAGGCTGGGCAGAATGCCCATTTGCAGGGCTTCCCAGAACACTGCCGCCATCCAGAATGCCCCTTTTGCAAGGCCTGCTGCAGCCCCCAGTCTCACCAGAGTCCTGGGGCCATGCTTGCCGAGGCTTGTGCTCCGGGGGTCCTCCTTCCCCAGGACCACCTTGCTACGTTTGCAGAGACCAGATGCCCTCTGACCTCCCTTGCAGAGGTGGGATTTGATACTGTATGTTGTCTCAATGCCTGTTTTTTAATGTCTTCCTTTCATTAAGGGTTTTTAGTTTGGGTTTAATTTTGGTTGGGTTGGCACTAACTCTTAAGATGCTGTGAGAACCATTTCATCCAAATGCCAAATAAACGTGTTCTGGACGAGGCGTGGTCCTTGGTGTGACGCCCACAGCTGCCACAGACTAAGGTGGAAGAGGCAGCACCCACCTTTCAGCAGAATGCTCCTAGGGTTTGCAGCCCTTGCAGGTATCCCACAAATCCCCTGAGGACCAGGCAGAGCTGAGCTTGGAGCCCCCAGGTGGGGTGTGCAGAGAGCTGCAGCCCTGGGCTGCCTACAGCTATCCTGTAGCACTCATCCCTGCTTGGGGCATTGGTTGCTGCTTTGCCAGGGTTTGCTGACTTGCATAGGATCCACATAAAAGCTTGGCACCATCTGAGAGCCACCATGGGATGGGGTGCCAGGGTAGGGCTTGGAACTTGGCCATCAGCCCCATCTCCTCTAAGCTCCCCTTACTATCCAGGTGGCTGGAAACCGCCTTTCCCTGCAGTACAAGCCACCTAGGTTTCCAGAGTAGTCTAGGTCCTCTGGGGCTTCACACCTCCAGCAGGGGCACCTCTAGGTTTCAGACGGTAGGGGGTCCAGGAAGTGTAATTGCATGCCCCGCCCTGGGGCGTCCCAGGTGCACATGTTGGAGGAAGTCCTGCAGCTAGATACAAGAGGGGTCAGGGTTAGGAAAGGAACTGGTAAGTCCCTTGTCAGGGATGGGAACCTCAAGGAGGCAGCCCCTCTTTTTTTATCCCATCTGCTGGGACAGGAGTGGAATGGGGGTGTTGAGTCCTGGGCACCCAGGTCGCCATCAGCATCCTGGACAGAGCCCCAAGCCCTGCCTGTGGTTAGAGGCCACCTTCCATCCCCTACGTAGGAAGGGCCCTGCTCTCTGGAAATTGGAAAGAGGCTCGAGGTGCAAAGCAGTCCCCTCCTGTGACCTGCAGGTCTCCGTGTTGGCCTGGATCCGCAGAGAGGCCCAGGTAGGAGGGAGGCTATGGTCTTGGGATGGGGTGGAGGTCTCATGCCCACAGTGGGGCAGGAGAAGTCCTACACCTTCCCATCATGGGCGCTGGGGTCAAAGGTGCCCTCACTGTTTGAACTTTCTTGCAGGTGGCTTTGGCGTATCATTATGGTCCCCAGCCTGTTTCCTTGACTATAAATGGAGATAATAGGTCACTCCTCCCCTGCAGGATTAACCTCAGCAATTGTTGCTTACACTCAGCGAAGCCCTGGGACCAGTTCGGGCCTGAGTGAGTTTGGAGCACTCAATCTCTTCTTGGTGGCACCGCCCCCTCCCACCCTCTCCTCGATGGCCACACCCTTAGCCCACCTAGATAATGAGTAAATATGTAGCAGCCTGGCTCTGTGGTCTAGCCGCTTTCTAGTCCTTCAAAGCTGCTCTGCCACTGCACCACACAGGCCCCTGGCAACATGCTCACCTTTCTAGTGGTGCAGTGTGAGAGTGCGCACCAGGACTCTGTCCATCTGGTCTCCAATCTACCCTCTTTTGCCACACTCCACCACCCCTTAGGTCTTGCCACTGAGGGTGGAAAGGGACTGGGGGCAGAAAATACTGGGGTAGGGGTGATGGGGCCTCCGCTGGCCTAAGCCCCTGACCCTACTTAATTCTTGGACCCCAGCTGACGGGATGGGGCTTAGAGAGGGCCCAGATGACTGGCCTCAGCTTAGTCCCCTGCCCACTATCTGTCGGTGCCTGGTACTATGACTTACAGGACCCAAAGTGTGGTGATGACAGTGTCATGTGAGGCTGTGTCCTGGGACCACCAGAGCATGTGCCAGTGGTGCAAGAGTGGCACTCTGGTCTCTGCAGGTTTCTGTCTGCAGTCCTCTGCCCCAGTGACTGGGCATCAAGTGCAAGTGCATGACTGTTCCCCTGTGTGTGAGTCTGAGTCTGCTGTGATCACTAGTCCTGAGTCAGTCAAGGCTGGTGTGCCTGTTGCTGTGGCCAGGTCAAGCGTGTGCATGTGATAGAGGTCCCAGTGTGGGTGTGCAACTGTGTGCCGGAGACCCTTCTGCCTTCATCTCACCATGGGGCAGTCAACCTGCAGACTAGGTGGCTAGGTCAGATGCAGGGTGCAAGAGAAGGTGGGCACTGTGATCTGTTCAGGTGTAGGGAAGCAGAGTGGTTTCCTGAGGCTGGGCTATTCTCTGAGTATATGGGGACCACGCTGCTGCACTTTCAGGCTGCTTCTGTGACCCCCATCCACCCCAGAGATGACAGTCCTTGTTCCCACAGGCCCCACCCACTGGAAGAAGCTGGCCCCTGCCTGTGGGGGCCCAGACCAGTACCCCATCAACACTGACCTTCACAGGGGCCGGTGGATCTCTACCCTAGGGCCCTTCATCTTCCGAGGCTACAACTCGGCACCTCCAGGTCCTTGGACCCCGGATAATGACAGCCACACAGGTCAGCACCCTGCAGTCAGGACCCCTCCTAGGCAGGGACCAGGAGCCCCTACCCATGGGAGCTGAGACACCCTACAGGGCCAAGAATCCTCCATAGAGGCTAGCTCCACAGGGAAGGAGCATTCTCACACAGCAGTCCAGACGCACCCTCTGCATAGGCACCAGGCCCCACCCTACAAATCACAACCAGCTGTGGTCCCTGAGGACTAGTAGTCAGGATCTCCAATGGGGCCAGGACCCTTGACCACACATAGCTGGGCTCAGAGCCCCACCCCAGGAGGGCTGCCCCCTGTCCTCTTCCACACCATACTGGGTGTGGTAGTGGGGGCAGGGTTTCCCCTGCAGTCAGTGGAGCCCTGTTCTGACCAGCAGGAGCTCTGGACCTCACGGGTCCCCTTCCACTGGGGAGCAGCCTGGCTTGAGGAGGGGCCTATGCTCCTCCCTAATGGCACAAGGTGGGAGGTGGTGGGGTAGAGAGGGTGTCATGTGCCTTCTCACCTTCAGGGCTACTCCGAATGGACACTGATCCTCGGAACCACGTGGAGATTCAGGGGCCTGGGCTGCTGTTGCCTGCCTACTTCACGCTGCTGCTGCACTTCCACTGGGAGGGCCTGAGGTGAGCGGGCTCGGAGCACAGCCTGGACAGGTAGCGCCAGCCTGTGGAGGTAGACTTGGGCATGAGGTTGGGTGGCCAGAGGGCCCCCCAGAGGTGAGGGGGAGCAAAGTGGGGGCAGCTGGGTATCTCCCACCATCTGTGCCTCCCCCCAGATGCACATGGTCCACATGAACACAAAGTAGCAGAACGTGGAGGTGGCGTCACACCACGCTGATGGGCTCACAATGCTGGTAGTGAGGGCGAGGCTGTGACTCTATGTATGTTTCCAAAAAAGGGGTCCATGGGGATCCTGGAAGTGGACGGGCTGGGTCTGCGGAGTCTGTGGGGGATCACTAGGGTCTGTAGGATCTGTGGGAGGATGGGGTGGTGGGAGGGTATGGATCAGCAGGTCAGTGGGGGTGAGAACCCTGCAGCCCATTTCCCAGATGCCAGATGCCCCCTGCCACTGGGAGCCTCCTGCTTAGATTCCCCCAGCAGAGTTCCCCCTTTAGAGACCCCCACTCAGAACCCTCCCATTTGGAGCCCCTCCCAGGAGCCGGACTGTAGCAACACCAATTTCTCTGCCTTTGTGTTGGGCCTGAAGAAGGTGTCTTCCAGCTTCGGGGGTTCTGGGGATGGCGTCAGCGGGGCATGGGGAGGCTGGTTTCAGTCCCCCTCCCTCTGCCTCTGAGAGGAATCTGGTGAGGCCCGGGTTCTGATGAAGTAGGAGAGGGTCACTCAGAGGGCTCCCATGGAACAGGAAGGCACACTGAGGCCTCAGTGGGATTAGGGCAGGAAATGACCCTCTTGCAGTGAGGGACCATGCCAGGTCACACCCCCCCCACACACACACACCACATTAAGGTTATCCTGTACATTGTTTATTTCACATGGAGGGTCACCCACGGTTGACAGAACCACAAGCTGAGCCCCAAGCCCATCAGAGCCCAATGCTAGGGTTGCTAGGGAGGGGGAAGAGCAGGGGTGGTGGGTAGAAGGGGCTGCTGCAGGGACCGAGGCTCCAGGGGAGGCTACATTTCCCAAGGCCAAGAGATGAGAAGCCGCTGGTTCCAGGTTCCGCTGCAGGCTATCCTAGCTGGGTGGGTGCTGGGCACTGTGGAGGGCTGCCTGGTGTACTATGGCCCAGAGCCTCCCTGGGAGTTTGGCTGTGGAGTCTGCATAGAGGGTGACTCTGGAGAGGTGCTTGTGTCCAGGTGGCTGCCTGTGGGTCTAAGTAAAGGGGTGAGTATTCTTGGTGTCACTGTCCAAAGCAAAGCTGGGTCCACGGGACATGGACTAGGTAAGGCTCTGTGTCCAGGTGACGCTCTCCAGTGAGAGGGGGGCTGCTGTCAGAGTGAGGCTGACCGGAGGCTGCTGTGCAGTTGGTGGAATGTGGTTACCATCTTGAGGGACATCACCAGCTGCATGTCTGAGCCACCCTGTGTCCCTGGGGTCTGTGGCCTTATGTGTGGGTGATACTGTTCCAGTGCCTGGAGACCCTGCCTCCTCACTGAGATCCTGAAAGAATAAGACCCTGCATGCAGTCACCCCGGAAGAATGGGAGTCCTGGCTGTTTGTTCCTCTGGAGGCTGACCCAGCCCTGATCCCGACCCAAGGCCCAAAGGCCTAAAGGCCCAGCTCTAAGGTTCCAAGGGGCTCCGCCCGGTTCTCCAGCCGGACTCAGTCTCCAGCAAGGACCCCAGCTGCCATCCACACTCCCCAGAAAAACGTACCCCACCCTCCGCCCATCCCGCGCCCACCCCCTCTCGACAGTACCAGGACCCTAGCTGGTGGCACCCGGGGACCCTTCAGGCTCAGAGCCACGCTCCACGAGGGGAACCGCACTGCTCACTTGCCCAGTCCTGGGAGTACCAGAGCCCCTCCAGCCAGCGGCGACGCCTTCCGCACCTTCCCTAGGCCGCCCTCAGTCCCCGCCACCTTGCGGGGCCCCAGGCGGCACCAGCATCTTCTTGTGGTTCTGGGCCGGGGCTCTGTGCGCTCCGCTGTCTGCTGGGCCGTCCAGGGCGTCGTCGGTGGGCCTGGAGGTGGCGACCAGGGTGCTCACGGTGCCAAGCGTCTGCAGCAGGGTGGGGCCTCGGGGCGCAGCGCGGCGCTCGCGTCGGGCAGGCGGCGGTGGCGGTGGCGGAGGTAGCAGTGAGCGCAGGGCGTCCAGCTCAGCTCGAAGCTCCGCGCGCAGTGCCTGGATCCCGGCGCCCAGTTCCGTGCGCACCGCCGCCAGGCCCTCCTGCAGCCGCCGCTCGCTCACCTCCAGGACACCCGCCGGGTAGGTGGCCCCGCCGCGCGGCTCCCCACACACTGAGCATACGGAGCCGCGGCTCTGCGTACCGGTCCTCTCGCCCGCGCCTGCCGCCCGGGCCCCGGTGCGCTCCACCAGCTTCAGTAGACGCGGCATCTCGGATCGCGCCGCCGCCTCCGCCCGGAGCTGGCCCCGCAGGCGAGCCAGGCGGCCCGGGGCGCGGGCTTCTTCCTGGCCCGGCCCATTGGGCTGTGACCCCGGGTCCCGCCGGCGGCCAGTGCCGCGCCGCAGAGCTTCGCTGACTCTGTACCCACTACGCGCCTGGGTCCACGCGCAGCCAGGCTCCGCCATCCACACTGCCGCCTCCACCGCCGCCAGTGCCAGGAGCCCGAGGCTGCAGCCTAGCGACCGCTGGGGCCCGGGCGACGCACCGTGGAGGGGGCCCCCGGGACAGCTGTGGGAACAACCAAAGCCCTGGAGATCCGGCCTCGGGCGCAGGGAACCCGGGCAGGGCTGATCTCAGCGGTCCGGCTCCCAGGGGACCCTGGGGGACTGAAGACGTTGTGGGCAGGTACCCACAAAGGGCATGGCCCAGTTTCTGGCAGAGGTGACATAGAGCATCGCCAGCCGAAGCCCAGGGACCAGCCCCCACAGACCCAAGTCAAGAACTGAGCTGACATTTTCCACTGGAAACTACTGTCTCCATCATAGTTATGGGAAGGCCAGGGGTGGTCATGGGCTCCACAGCCCTCCTCAATGGCTCAGGGCCACCTCCTTCCATGTTGTCTAGGCTATTATCTCCTCACTCTGTCCCCAGTCCACACAGCTGAAGGAATCCATCCTAGTGGCATCTCCAGCCCCAAGCTGCTGCCTCCTCCATGCAAGCTCTTCAGGGTCTCCCTTATTCTCCAAGGCGCCAGCCTAGGGCCTCTGGAAACCCCTGCCCATCTTATGCTGGGTTTTTGTTGTTTTTTTGAGACGGAGTTTCACTGGTGTTACCCAGACTGGAATGCAATGGCACGATCTCGGCTCACTGCAACCTCCGCCTTCTGGGTTCAAGCAATTCTCCTGCCTCAACCTCCCGAGTAGCTGGGACTACAGGCGCGCACCACCATGCCCAGCTAATTTTTGTATTTTTAAGTAGACACGGGGTTTCACCTTGTTGACCAGGATGGTCTCGATCTCTTGACCTCGTGATCCACCCACCTTGGCCTCCCAAAGTGCTGGGATTATAAGCGTGAGCCACTGCACCCGGCCTGTTAACAGGATCTTGCTGTGTTGCCCAGGCTGGGGTGCAGTGGTGCAATCATAGCTTACTGCAACCTCCACCTCCTGGGCTCAAATGATCCTCCCACCTCAGCCTCCTGAGTAGATGAGAGTACAAGTGTGTATCACCATGCCCCGCTAATTTTTATTTTTACATTTTTGTAAACTGGGCACATTGGCTTACACCTGTAATCCCAGCACTTTGGGAGGCTGAGGTGGGTGGATCACCTCAGGTCAGGAGTTCAAGACCAGCCTGGCCAATGTGATAAAACCCCATCTCTACTAATAATACAAAAATTATCTGGGCATTGGGGCACATGCCTGTAATCCCAGCTACTCCAAGGGCTGAGGCAGGAGAATTGCTTGAACCCAGGAGGCAGAAGTTGCAGTGAGCTGAGATCATGCCATTGCACTCCAGCCTGGATGACAAGAGTGAAACTCCGTCAAAAAAAAAAAAAATTGTAGAGACAGGGTCTCACTGTGTTTCTCAGGTTGGTCTTGATCTTCTGGCCTCAAGTGATTCTGTCTTGGCCTCCCAAAATGCTGGGATTACAAGCGTGAGCCACCATGTTCAACACTGTCTGTCTTTAACCTCCTCTAACCCAAGTCTTCCTTGTCCCTCTGGGTCTTTCCATAGTTCCCCCACCCCTCATTTTTCTTGTGGCTCTCACTTCCCACTTGGGCCAGGAAATCTTCCTTGACCACCCCATCCCACACTGGGGACCTCGAGCCCCTCCCTCGCAACACCCTTCACAGTTGTATTTAAATGACTGTTTTCCATCCACCCACAGTGGGGTCTCTGAGCCCAGGGCTGGGTCATCTCTCCTGGGCTGTGTGTGTCACTAAGCATGCTGAGTGCTAGTCTGCACAGAGGCCAGGCCTGAGTGGGCCCCAGGACACAGCTGCCAGTGGCTGTCTTGCCATGGAGTGAGGGAGTGAATCAGCGGGGCTGGGATCTTCTTCCCTTTACAGTAGGAGGCTGGGGAGAGGAGCTTGCCAGCCCATCCACCTCTGCAGCCTGGCATCTGAGGCCCTCATGGTATCCCTGCTGGCATGCCTGCCCCTGCAGCCCTTCTTTCTCTATGGAGCGCTCACCGCTGCACCCCATTCCTTCTCACCCCGGTGCCTTTGCATGAGCAGTGCTGCCTCTGGCCATCACAGGGCCCTAGGTATGGGCAGAGGGTAGTATCCCACACACAGCATGTGGTTCTCCCTGTACCCCCAGGGGCCAGTTAGCACTCTGGGTGCCCTGGACCCTAGGACCTCCCCCAGCAAATTGTGGAGGGGGGCCTCGCATGAATCCAGGCTGGTCTGGAACAGGACATGGCAAGACAGTCCCTGGAAGCTGTGTCCCTGGGGACTACAGGTCAGCGCATGTGTGCATGTGTGGGTGGCGAATTGAGGGGACCACTAATGCTGTCCTCAAGCAGCTGCTGAGAAGACTGGGTCCCTCTAGTCATTGTTCATTCACTCAATCACTGCCCGCCTCTCTGGAAGGTGCAGGAGGAGGTAAGAGTTCAGCACTCTGTCAACCTCTCAGACTCCCCCATTCCTGCTGAGTCACCTGTCCCCTGGGACCTCCAGCAGCTGGCTCTGCTGATCCCTAGAGCCTTATTAGCCATACTTCCCAACCCCCCAGTCATTAAAACACTGCCAACAAAAGAGCCCTGGGTTCCTTCCCCAGCCCTGCTGGAGATGGGCTGTGTGACCCAGGGGCTCTGCCCTTTCTGAGCCAAGTCTTCACCTGTGAAATGAAAATACCTCTGAGGTCCCCAGGAGGGGTGACAGGGAGGCCTGGGCAGTGGAGAAGGTGCAGGAGAGAGTCCAGATTTGGCAGAAAGAGCTGCTACTTTTGTGATCTCTGCCTGGAGGTTCATGGACAGGCTGGAAGATAAGCTAAGCCTTTGCAATGAGTCCAGATTAGGGCTTGTTCCTGCGGGGGCTACAGATGTGGGGGCTGGCTCTTGTGGCAGAGGGTCCCAAAGACATGGGCATGGAGAAGATGGGTTGGTGGGAGCAAGGGCAGAATAGGTCCCAAGGACTCTACTGGGCCCTGAGGAGGACTGCAGAGGTGTCGGTGAGGGGTAGGCATGCAGGTGTGTCAGCACAACCCTGAGCCCCTGAGGTAGGTGTTGGGGACCCTGGTCTGAGCTTCAGCAGTGGTGGGGCTGGCAGAGAGGAGACGGCGTGGGGGCTGTCCCTCAGGGAGCATGGCAGAGTGGCAGGGTGGGGCCTGTACACAGGTCTGCTCTCCAGTTCCTATGGGAAGCTCAAATCCGGCTGCCCTGGCAGAGGAGCTGACTTTGGCTCCCGTGCAGGGCCTGCTCCTTCCCCTCCTGTCCACCTCAGTGTGCTTTGGGCCAGGAGCCAGGCACGGTGGGGGCAGGAAGGCTGGCTGTGCCTGTGGGAAGCCACCAGCTCCCAGGGCTGTCTCTGGGCCCAGGCTGTAGCTCTGTGCATTCAGGCGTGCAGGCTGGGCGAGCGACTAGCTACCTTGCCCCTCAGTAAAGCATTCACAGTGGGGGGTCAGAGGAAACTCCAGGGCTCTGCCTAACTTGACCAGGGGTCCCAATGGGGCCGTCTCTCTGTGTGACTTAATTGTCATCACTTTTGTGTTCTGCAACTGTTAAATAAACCCTGGCAGCCACGTCGACTGGAGGTTTTATGTCCCGGAGCCCAAGGGCAGCTGGGAGCCAGCAGAGCACTTAGGCAGCAGGGCCAGGCCAGCTCTGCGTGTGGGAGGGGGCTCTGGGGGCCTCCAAGGGCTGCTACAGGGACCCAGCAGGGTGGGGGCGGAGGCAGAGGGTGTGATCAGAGTGAAGGTGAGATGCAGGCAGAGTCGTTAAAGCTGGCTTTGGGGTTTGTGTGGGAAGGGGCACACCTGGCAGGGGCTTGAGAGGTAAGCTAGGGAGGTGCCAGGGTCTTGGAGCTGCCTCTTAAAGGTGGTGGGAGATCTGGGAGAAGCAGGGAATGGGAGCATCCAGCAGGTTGTCTGATCCACCCTGAGGGCCCAGCCAAGCTGGTTGGGACAGGAAGGTTCATCTTGGAACTGGTCCTGGAGGGGCCATGTGGGCCAAGGGTCTGGTCATGGCCCCTAGCCCTCTGCTTAGACCACAGAGAACAGGACACCTGTCCGTCCTTTGCTGTGACTGCACTGCTTGCTCTGGGAGCAGCTGCTGGGCCTTTGGAGGAGGAGGGAGGTTGGCCCGGCTGGGGCAGAATGCTGTGCTCGGGCTTGTAGAAGGGAAGGTGATGGTCCTTTCAGATCCCTGGAGTGCAGGCTGCATAGTGGGGCCTCTGTAGACATAAGCTGGCAGGTCCGGCTTGAACTTTGCTCAAGACACTGGGTACTGGGTTCTGGGTTCAGAGGCCTCATGAAATGCCCAGCCTCAGTTTCCTCATCTGTCAGGACCAGCAGCTGGCTGGGAGGATGTGTATGACCATGGCAGCGGTCAGCATAGTTTACTCTAAGAGATCTTGTCTCCCAGAGCCCTGAGGTGACCTTTTTTTTGAGAGCTCAGAGAGGAGAATGACTTGCTCCAGGTCTTACTGCAGGGTCTGCGGCTTCCTTTGGGGACTCAGGCACACCTTGCCCCTGGATACCCCTGCCCTGCCCACTGGGCCCTGGCACTGTGCCCTGGTCTCCTGTGGCATTCTCTAGCCAGATCTCTGGGACCCATCCCAGGGCAGGTGGCTCTGCAGGAGGCCAACTCTACCCAGTAGTGGCCATGCCTGACATGGGTAATGAGCTCATTACCTGGTAATAACCTGGTGTGTATGTTCCCGGCATCAGCAGCCTCAGCTCTTCCCGCAAGCAATGTCTGGCCTGGATGGTTCTGACCAGTCTATGCCATGGTCCCCGGCATCCCAGCCTGCCCTGCATAGGGTGTTGGGCCTGCCAGCATCTATATGTGCCCTGAGGGCCCCAGACTCAGCCCCCAGTGGGGAAACTCTGGGCTCCCGACGGACCCCTCCTAATTGCACAGCCCAGGGCAGGTAAGCCCTGACCCACTCTGGGCCTCATTCTCATCGAAGCTGGTGACAGAGAGTCTCTGCTTGGTCAAACTTTATTGAGGCTCCTGAGGCTTCTCCTAGGCACATCTGAGCACTTCCTTATACACTCCAGTTTTAGCAAGAATCCTGCAAAGTCAGTTTAGCGAGAAGCCCCAATCCTTGACATCTGATCAAGAATGTCAGATGTCCCCCAGGTGTGGGCTGACCATCTTGGCCCACCTTCAGCAAGAATCCTGTTAGGGGAGTTTAGCCAGAATCTCCAGCCGCTGGTGTTTCTTTCCTTTTAGCCACTTTCCATGCACTGTCCCCCACCCTGCTCCTTGACTGTCACTTCCCACTTGCCCATGCTGTCTTCAGAATTGAGCCCAGTCTCTCTCCCCCACTGCAGAATCTTATCGCCATGGCCCCTTATACCTGGTGAGATGGTCCTGAATAGTCTTCCCTACAGTGCTTTAGCAAGAGTCATTTTTCATTGAATATTTATTTATTTTTTTTAATAAAGATGGGGTTTCACCATGATGGCCAGGCTGGTCTTGAACTCCTGACCTCAGGTGATCCACCCACCTCGGCCTCCCAAAGTGCTAGGATTACAGGCATGAGCCACCGCGCCCGGCCTCATTGAATACTTTTTAACAATGAAAACAGAAGAGGGTCTACAAGCAGGGCTGCTGCTGGGCACCATGGAGGGCCACCTGGTGGGACAGAACCCAGCATACAGGGCCCTTCGGGGTTCCCCTTCCCCTGCCGGTTGGGCTGGGGTCTCTGTGTCAGGATTGTCCTCATCATCATTTGGGGATGGACCTCCACTGTCATCCTAGTGAAGGGGCCAGGGAAGGGTGTCTATGTGCTGGGCAGACCTGCCCGAGGCCTCTGCTATCCAAACGGAGCCCCCAGGATTTGGACCTGCCCCCAGTGACCTGCTCCCTCTTGCCCATCATTCCAGGAACTTCCTGCTCCATACCCATGCACATCCTGTCCCGAGGCCAGCTCCACCTATTCAGCCTCAGGACACAGCCACTCACCCTCCCGGGAAGGTCTTCCCTGCTCCTGTGGCTTCCTGCTGGCACTCACTGCACTGGGTTTTCTTCCTGGCGTGTGGGACCCTAGTCTGTGTCTTCTATTGGATTTGACTTCTACCAGAACATGGACCTCCCTGAGTCCTCACAGCCCAGAAAAGTGCCCAGCATGCAGTAGGCACATCATAAATACCTGTCCACTATCAGTGAGTGAAGGCATCTTATTAAAGAAGACATTTAAGAATAGGGCATAGGGCTTGGCATTCAGTAGGCATGCAGTACATGATGGCTTTGTTATTTCCAGTCTGGGGTTGTGTTCATGCCTCAGTTTCCCACCTGGCCTGACAGGAGGGGCTCAGCTGCTGGGTTAGCTGTGTCTCTGTGCCCCTTGCCTGGAAATGCCTGAGGAGGGGCAGGGTCCTCATCCCAGCCCTATCCCAAGGGTTCCCAGCCCTCCACCCTTGAGGGGACGAAGGCTGCAGCCACCCTGCAGCACTGCATGCACAGGCTAGGAAAGAAGAGGGGGACAGAGGGTGTGCACAAGGGGTGGGGGGCCAGGGAGAGGGTGTGTACACAGGGCAGGGGGAGGGAGAGGGCATGTACATGAGATAGGAGGAGGGAGAGGGTGTGCACACGGGTCTGGGGGCAGAGAGAGGGTGTGTACAAGGGGCGGGTGAAGGCAGAGGGTGTGCACATGAGGTAGCGGGAGGGAGAGGGTGTGCATATGGCTTGAGGAGCAGGGAGAGGGTGTGCACGTGGGACGGGGGAGGGAGAAGGTATGCACATGTGTCGGGGAGCAGGGTGAGGGTGTGCACATGGCATGGGATGGGGGTGTACCTAATTGTGGCCGCACCTGTGCCCTTACCACTCCTGCCCACCCCATGAAACTCGCTCTGAGCCCTTGCGCCTTGGCAGGTGGGGATGAGACAGCCTAAGTGCAGATCTCTACCCAAGATTTGCATCAAATCATGTCAGTCATAGGTGTATCTTTGTAATTAACACCCAAATCAGGGTCTTTTCTCTATATCTTCCTGTCTCAAAATGAGAACGCTTGATGGCGGTTAATCATTCTCTTATGTGGTGTGTTTACTGCAGTGTGTGGTAACACATGAAATAGTGTGTAACATCTATGTCAGCACAAGGACTGCCTGTCAACCAGCATTTACCCCACATCAGTACAGTGGTTCACTCCCTACTCTCCAGAGGGGCCTGATTTATGTTTCTCTTGCTTTTTATAGATTTTTTTCCCTAGGTATGTGCTATCTCGAAACAGTGTCATTTGGCTTTGCTTGTCTTTAAGTGTTATAAATAAAAATAATATACTGTATTTTTTTAAATTCCTTTAGATTAATATACTGAAGTAAAAAATGGTATTCTGTGTATGGGCTGGGCTTGGTGGCTTCACGCCGGTAGCCACAGCACTTTGAGAGGCTGAGGTGGGTGGATTATTTGAGGCCAGGAGCTGGAGACCGCCTGGCCAACATGGTGAAACCCCTCGTCTACTGAAAATACAAAAATTAGCCAGGTGTGGTGGTGCGTGCCTGTAATCCCAGCTATTCAGGAGGCAGGGGCAGGAGAATCACTTGAACCTAGGAGGCGGAGGCTGCAGTGAGCTGAGACTGCAACAGTGCAATCCAGCCTGTGCGACAGAGCCAGACTCCATCACAAACCAAAAGAAAGAAAAAGAGAAAGGAAGGGAGAGAGAGGGAGGGAGGGTGGGAGGGAAGAAGGATAGAAGGAAGGAAGAAAAGAAGGAAAGTTAACAACGCCAAAAAATAACATAACTTTCCCATAAGAAAACATGGCAGACACCGCATGAACTTTGTGGTCAAGTGAATATCACCTTTCAAATGACACAGCACCATCAGGTACCCTCAGCTGTGACACACTGAGGAAAAAAGCATCACGTGTGGTGTCCTCTCCATTAAAAGCAAATTCTCCATTTGATCATGAGAAGCCATCAGAAGAACACAAAGTCAGAGACACTCAACAAAACACCTGACCAGTGCTCTTCGGAACTTCCGGGGCATGAAAGACAAGGAAATAGTGAGAAACTGGCACAGATGGAAGCATCCAAGGGGCACCTGCCAATTAAATGCGGTGTGGGATCCTTGACTGGATCTTGCAACAGAAATAAGAAAATGATGGAAAAGTTGGTGAAATTAAAAATAAGGTCCATAGTTCATTTGCTAATCGTATTTCCATGTGAATGTCCTGGTTTCCACACTTGTAACTAAGGTGGTGCAAGATATTGACATTAGAAGCTGGCAGAAGGACAGATAGAACTTTTGTGCTTATTTTTTGCGGCTTTTCTGCCTAAATTTCTTTCTTTCTTTCTTTCTTGAGACGGAGTTTCACTCTTGTTACCCAGGCTGGAGTGCAATGGCGTGATCTCGGCTCACCGCAACCTCCGCCTCCTGGGTTCAGGCAATTCTCCTGCCTCAGCCTCCTGAGTAGCTGGGATTACAGGCAAGTGCCACCATGCCCAGCTAATTTTTTTTTGTATTTAGTAGAGACGGGGTTTCGCCATGTTGGCCAGGATGGTCTCGATCTCTTGACCTCGTGATCCACCCGCCTCGGCCTCCCAAAGTGCTGGGATTACAGGCATGAGCCACCATGCCCAGCCTAAATTTCTTTCAAAACAAAATATGAAATAAAAGATGGGCAATTGAGAACCATTAATGGATTGAAAAATAACACACTTGCATGCAAATACAAATAATACCCTTTTCTGAAAAATGTAATCACTTTTTTTTTTTTTGAGACAAGAGTTTTGCTGTTGTTACCCAGACTGGAGTGCAATGGCACAATCTCGGCTCACCGCAACCTCCGCCTTCTGGGTTCAGGCAATTCTCCTGCCTCAGCCTCCCGAGTAGCTGGGACTACGGGTGCGCAGCACCATGCCCAGCTAATTTTTGTATTTTTAGTAGAGACGGGGTTTCACCTTGTTGACCAGGATGGTCTTGATCGCTTGACCTTGTGATCCACCCGCCTCGGCCTCCCAAAGTGCTGGGATTATAGGCATGAGCCACCGCGCCTGGCCAGCACTGCATCTTTCACAAGAACGATGACTCTGAGAACTCAGTTTTCTCTGCCCAGGCATTCATACATGCAGCAGAGGGAAAGGGCCACAGGAAGAACCACAGGTAACATGGACTGGGCATCTGCCACCGTGCACTTCATGTGTGTTCTGTCACCTTACACTCATCAGCCTTTGCGTTAGTTGTTTCCATTCTGAAGATAAGGAAGTTGAAGGCCAAAAGAGGTTAAATTAGTGGCCTAAGATTACAAGAAAAGTGGCAGAACCTGACTTTGGCTGATGCCAAGCCTGTGCCATGCTTTTCACTGCACTGTACCGCCTGTGGCTGCTCTGGGACTCAGGAGAGGCAGGTACTGCTGTGGCTCTGCCACTAACTTGCTCAGTGACCTTGGTTAATTCATTCTCTTTCTAGAACACAGATCTTCATGTATCAGTTGACGGAAATAGAACTACTGCCAGTTCACAGACGAAGGAATTACATTGTTTCAGGAAAATGAGTGGTGGAAACAGCCTTCAGACTGAGTGCAGGAGCCTCTGCTGAGTGACAGAAAAAGGATTAGGAAACCAGGGGAGAAGCAGTGTGGGGCAAAGAGCTCAGGACAGATGTGAGGACACCTGGGTTCTAGTCCTGCCTCTACCATTTGATAGCTGTGGCCCTCAGGTGCTTCACCTATAAAACGGAGAAAAATGATCTTTCTGGCTATCTCTCATATGTTTGAATGGTTCAAGTGAGATTATGTATGAAAATATCTTCACAGATGTCATGAAGTGCTCTATTAACACAGCCATTTCTCTGTTTGCCTTCATTTTCACAGCATGATTTAGGTATTTCTAAACTAACTAACCAAGGAATGTGACTGTGATCTGTGTGCCGTGGTAGCAACGGAGCACCAGCTCTGGCCAAGCCTATCCCCTCTGCACATTTGCCTGCCCCCACACTGGGAACAACATGTGATAAAACTGGTGCAGGCTCTGCCCCTGTGAGAGAGCCAGTGGTGTCAGAGAAGCAGAGGTCATAGCTCCAGAGCAGGGAGTCCCTGTGAAACCATCTGTGGTGATGGACATGCTGCCTATCTGTGCCAGTCACTTCGGTGGCTACTGAGCACTTGACTTGTGGCTATTACAACTGAGAAACTGAACTCGAAATTTCATTTAACTTTAAATAGCCACAACTGCAGCTACTATGGAGCAGCACAGCCTACAATTCAACTGAGCCATGGATCTGGTCATCAATCTTAAGGTTTCATAGCTGTCCTCTTTTTTTTTTTTAAGACGGAGTTTCGCTCTTGTTACCCAGGCTGGAGTGCAACGGTGCAATCTCGGCTCACCGCAACCTCCGCCTCCTGGGTTCAGGCAATTCTCCTGCCTCAGCCTTCTGAGTAGCTGGGATTACAGGCACGTGCCACCATGCCCAGCTAATTTTTTTTTTTTTTTTTTCGTATTTTTACGCCTCGGCCTCCCAAAGTGCTGGGATTACAGGCTTGAGCCACCGTGCCCGGCCTCATAGCCAACACATAAACCAACTTTGTGATTGCAGTTCTGAAACTCTAGCCTCTAATGCTTTTTTCCCCCAATAAAACACAATGTTCATGGCATGATTTTTTATAATGGTAGGTTTCTTAGGAATCCAATTATCACTTTGTAGCAACACAAATAAAACCAATAAAATGGGAAGATTACATAAAAAATTATGTTTTGTTATCTATGTTTGCCTACCTGGAAAGATATAATATTATATGTCCTTCTCTTTGAAATTTAAAAAAATCAGGGACTGAATAGAACAAGACCTTGTAGGGGTCGCTCCCCGCACTGGCCTCGGTGGTCCCCTACCTTGCATGTCCTGCTCTCTGGCTGGCCTGCTGGTGCAAGCAGAGACACCCCTGAGGTGAAGCGCTGGGCCAGGTGGACGGCACATGGTGAGACATAGGGGGCTTAGACGTGGGTTCTCGTTCTTCGGGAAGGTGCTGGTGGGAGCGGCTGATCTCAGCTGGAGAACAGGGGCCGTAACTGGCTGTGGAAATGTTTCCCAGGGAGCCTGTGAATGAAACAGGAAGGAAGGGTGTCCTTGTCTTAAAGTGGGCTGCTAGAGGCAGAAACACATGAAGACAGAGGAGCTAATCCAGCATCAGCACTCTCCCTCTGACACCCGCCCCCTGTACCCTCCCAGAGGAGGGCTGGGGCCTCCTGGCCATCCTGGTTGAGGAGCCGCTTTCCTGCTCTGGAGCAGCCTGGAGGCCTCATTGTGCCCTGGGCCATGACTACTCCACTCCCAGACAATGTGGCTCCCCACGGTCCAGGACTGTGGTCCCAGCCCCCAGGCAAGACAGCCTCTGCAGTGGTGAGTGCCACCACCTGCCTCTTCCATGGTGGCTCCTCTGTCATGGCCTCCCTCAAAGCTAAGGCTGGCCAGGTCAAGTGAGGCTTGCCAACTGAAGCCGCATTCTTTGAGGCCCTGCACAAATGTATCTGGAGCTGTCCCCCAAGACTGACCCCAGCTCTCCCGCCTGTCCTTCGATGGCATCTCAGACTCTCCTGTGGTGTTGGCAAGGAAGAGAGGTAACACGGACAGGTGGTACTTTGCTGCACCCCAGGCTCAGCACACTGTTCACCTGGCTTGCTTGCCAGGACCTGTCCACACTGCTCAACAGAACCTACAAGGCTTTTCACAGTCCGACCTGTTTCCTGCTTTCCTACACCCATGACCAAGGTACACGGCAGCATCAGCTGTCCTGCACATACTGGCCTCTTTCAGGATTCTTTGCTTTGGCTTATGCTGTTCCTTCTACATGGATTTCACTTCTACTCAAACTCACATGCACGCTTTTTTTTTTTTTTTGAGATGGAGTTTCGCTCTTGTTACGCAGGCTGGAGTGCAATGGCGTGATCTCGGCTCACCACTACCTCCGCCTCCTGGGTTCAGGCAATTCTCCTGCCTCAGCCTCCTGAGTAGCTGGGATTACAGGCACGCGCCACCATGCCCAGCTAATTTTTTGTGTTTTTAGTAGAGACGGGGTTTCACCATGTTGACCAGGATGGTCTCGATCTCTTGACCTCGTGATCCACCCGCCTCAGCCTCCCAAAGTGCTGGGATTACAGGCTTGAGCCACCGCGCCTGGCCTCACATGCACACTTTAAGACCCTGCTCAAATATGATGTTCTCTCTGAAACTCCCTGGACCGGCTTTCTTCTGGGTGTCACAGCACTTGGCCCCTCTTCCCATCATAAGCACTTCCTTGTCCAGCCCATGGGTTTTTGAGAACTCTGACTGATGTTGTTACCTCCACGGCCCAAGCATTTACCTAATAGAGGCCAGGTACATAGACGGTTTTTAATCTGTGTTTGCACATTAAATAAAAACATACTTTCAGCAATCAAAAATCCCAACAGCGAAGTTTCTTGTTCAAAAGAAATGGTCTACAGGTGTAATTTCAAATGATGTGATCACGAGTGGGGTCATGTTTGGCTGGTGTTGATGGTGGCTTTCTAAGGGTTCTTCAAGTTATATCAGAGGGGGCAGAGTTCTCCTTCTGTCCCCCGCTATCTGGCCTATTTCTGGCTGTGCCACCTCATGGCCTGAGGCAGGAGCCCGAGCTGGCTAATTCCCCTGGAGTGCCTGCTCCTTTCCAGCTGTTTCTGATGCTGGGCAGGACAAGTTCTGCCAGTGAGCAACAGAAACATCTGGGAGGGCTCTGGGAAGGATAGCTCCACTGACAGCTACGTGCACTCCAAGATGAGCTCCCATGCAGGTCTCCTGGCGAGTGGGATGTCTGATGACAGAATCAATGGCCTTGTAACTCCAAAAGACCTGCAACATGAATGCTTTTCCAGTGGAGGAGAAAGGGTCTATGCTAGGAGACTGGGCAGCCACAGCAGCAGGGATGAACACAGCCGTGGCACAGGAGAGACAGGAAGGGCACAGCAGGAAGCTCCGCTGAGCCTCTGCTCCTGCCATCTTGTTGGATCTGCTCCCTCTGCCTTCAGTGGGGCTATTCTTCAGGGTTCTTCTCTCGACCCTCCTCAGCCTCACCCTGACTCTGGATACTGCAAGATGATCCTGTCCTCCCACAGCCCCCGGGGCCACCTAAGTGATGGAAACTCTCAAATCCGAACCTGCAGCTCAGGCCTCTCCGGGGCTCCCTGTCACAAGGCAGACACCCCACAAGCAGGTGTCCCCGATGCTCCAAAGTGAACCCCTCGCATGCCTATGTTCCCTCTCAGTGAGGCACATCAGTGTCACCGTCCACTCCACTCTCCAAGCCAGAGCGCTGGCGTCACTGTGACTCTTCCCTGTTTCTCACCAACCACGTCCTCTCCTTATGGCATTGCTCATGGAAAGCACTTCCACAGTGCCCTGCATCCTTAAGATGACTCACAAAGCACTCTCTCTTCCTAAAGCCATATTTCTATTTATTTCAACCAGTTTCTTAGCAACACTTCCTTGTGTTTCAAATGGAATTCTTGTAAAATACCAGCCTTTCTCTCATCACCCCATATACTCAGCTCAAAACTCAGTGAGGGCAGAGATGCTATCTCTTTTGAAATGGTTTTGTTCTCAGAATCAAGCCCAGTGTGTGATACAACAAATATGTGTTGATCGAACAAAGGATGTAGCATAGTAAGGAACTACTCCCCGGTGACTTTCACTGCTCCTCATCACCCTCCCAATAAAGTCCAGGCTCTTCAGTCTAGCAGGAAAGGCGACTTTTCCACAACCCACTCCCCTTGCCCTGTGACCCCATCTATCCCTCATGCCCCTGTTGAATGTGTGGGCTGTAGAGCATGAGGGTGACCCTCACCTCCACAGCCCCGGCCTAGCACTCAGGCAGTAGAGTCCTATCCATGACCCAGAGTCCATTTACATGCAGACCTGGGAGGAAGCTGCTTCCCACCCTAGAGTCCCCATCTCTCCACTTACGCCTCAACACGGTAGTCGTAAGGATGAAACACATGCATGCTGTAGGTATGCAGAACACCTTCTAGTCACTTCTGTATCCCCAGTGCCCAGAGCAGTGTCAACACATAGTAGGTGCTCACTGCATAGAGCTGTCCCTCAGTACCCCCGGGGGACGGGTGCCAGGACCCCTGTGGATACCAAAATCCATGCATGCTCAAGTCCCTGATACAAAATGGCTCAGTATTTGTATACAGTCTGTTCACATCTTCCTGCAGACTTCAAATCATCTCTAGATACTAACACCACCTGATACAATATGAATACTGTGGAAGTGGGTATTACACTGTATTGCTTAGGGAGCAATGACAAGAAACCAGTCTGTGTATGTTCAGTACTGATGCAACCTTTTTAACATTGTCCATCTGAGCTTGGCTGAACTCATGGATGTGGAACCTACCGACACGGAGTGTTGACTGTATTTGTTGAGTGAATGCAATTAAATGAACAAAAGAATTTTCTCCGGGATGAAAATCCAAATATGCCTGTTCTGAGGGTCAAGTCAGAGAGGTTTTGTGAATAAAATGAAGATCTGGTAACAAGATGAAGTGGGGGTTAGGCTGAGCTGGGCCCTCATGCAACACAAACCTGTTCTATCCCAGGTTCTAGAACTCTATGCTAACAGCACCAAGCCATAGCTATAAAACCAGCCAGCTCTCTCAAACGGCCTGTAGCTCCAGAAACATCCTTTCAAAGCAGTTCTGGCAATAAACCTTGCCTGGAGAGTTTTTAAAACCAGACTGCTGTCTTTTGTCCCAGAGTTTCTGATTCAGCAATTCTGGAGTGGGGCATAAACTTACTTACAAGAATTACTTACTTACATTCTTACAAGAATGTGCATGTCTAACAAGTTCCCAGGTGATGACGATAGTGATGAGCTAAAAATAGCTTTTACATTTCAAAGGACTGTAATTTTTTTTTTTTTTTTAGACAGAGTTTTGTTCTTGTTACCCAGGCTGGAGTGCAATGGCGTGATCTCGGCTCACCGCAACCTCCGCCTCCCGGGTTCGGGCAATTCTCCTGCCTCAGCCTCCTGAGTAGCTGGGATTACAGGCATGCGCCACCATGCCCAGCTAATTTTTTTTTGTATTTAGTAGAGACGGGGTTTCACCATGTTGACAAGGATGGTCTTGATCTCTTGACCTCGTGATCCACCCGCCTCGGCCTCCCAAAGTGCTGGGACTACAGGCGTGAGCCACCGCGCCCAGCCAGGACTGTAATATTTTTAAAAACAGGAATATAAAATAGAGACTGTATATGGCCTTCAAAATCTAAAATATGTACAGGAAGTATCTGTTGAGCCCTGGACCCCTGCTACTCAAAATGAAGCTTTTCTTTTCTATCCTCCCAAAAAACAGTGGGAAAGAGTGGAGCTTTTAAAAGAGACTAATGCCTTGGTCACCACTCCAAGATTCTTAGGTAACTGGCCTGGCACAGGTCCTTGGCATCAATGTTTTTTTAAATATTCCCTCTTAATTCTGATGTGCAACCAGGTTCCAGAATGACCAATTTAGACCATACGCTGACTCAGAAAAAAAAACCCTGCTCCTCAAACTTCCTGGTGAGTACAGGATGACCTGGAACAAATGTGAAGGAGCATTTTTGCAACTTAAAACTCACTTCAAAAAGCTGAACTACTCTTTT